TCGGTTCCTTAGTACCACATAAACAGAAAAAGCCAGAAGTGGTATTGTGGCTCAAGTAGTAGATGCTAGTCTTGAGCAAAAGATGTTCAGGGACAGTGTTCAGGCCCTGAGTTCAAGCCCCAGGTCCAGAAAAAAAAAAAAAAAGATCTAGGATTGAGGATTTGCCCTGCAGAGTGTCATCTCTTTGCAATGTCTGCTGCTGTCTGTGATGTGTCCTGGTTGGTTGAATGTCCTCTGTCACAGCAACAGGCCCACATAGCCGGAGCCGTCCCTCCTCTTTTTTCTTTGCAAGTGGAACTTGGGTTTTTGTTGTTGTTGTTCTTACTGTTTTCTCGTTTTTTAAAAAGGTTATTTACAGTAGTTAGAAGAAACGTTTAACTAGAAATGTTCAGAAAAGCTTAAAAAGATAGTAAGTGAAAATTCATCAGCCCTTGGCCTTAGAGTCAACATCTTAATATTTTATCATATTGTTTTATTGCTCTCTACACATAGAAACTTTTCTTGTTTAAACTGGATCATTTGAAAATAGGATATTGCCAAAAGCCATGGAGCATGTATTTTGGCCCAGTTACTTGGGAGGCTGAGGCAGGAAGATCTTGAATTTGAGGCCAACCTGGAAACCATAGTAAGACCCTTGCTCAAAATGAAACATTTTAATTGAAGCGAAAAATATTGGTGATATTGTTACATCTCTACTACAGCAAGCATCTTCTAAAAATACCTTTTCCTACACAGCTATAAAATCAAATCCTTACCTTGAAGTGAACTTGCATTTATTCAGTGCATTTAATTTAACCTCTGATACATAGTTTATATGTTTATCCAAACCGTAAATATGCTTAAGAGACTAGCTTCATTTTGTTCACTAGAAGGAGACAGGAGGAAGACAAAAATTAACTTTTACAATAAAAGGGCATCGTCTCTAGTTGCCCTTAAAATACCCTATTTATTTGTTTTTGCCAATCCTGGGGCTTGAACTTGGGCCATGGGCACTGTTCCTGAGCCTCTTGTGCTCAAGGCTAGCACTCTACCACTTGAGCCATGGCATCGCTTCCAGCTTTTTATGAGTAGTTTATTGGAGTTAAGAGTTTCACAGACGTTCATGCCCGGGCTGGCTTTGAACCTCCATCCTCAGATCTCAGCCTCTTGAGTAGCTTGGATTACAGCCGTGAGCCACCAGCACCCAGCTCAATTTATTTATTGTTGATCCAACCCAGGTTGTTGTTCAAGCCAAGTTTATATGTCTCATTAACTCTTTTGATTCAGAATGGTCTTTTCTGCTACTTTTATGCTTTCACATTTTGCTTTTGAAGTATTCAGGCCACTTGTCTAACTGAAGGTCCAGAAATGTTTTCTTTATGGCCTTTTGTATAAACTCTCTGCCACTTAGATCACTGGATAGAAATTCCAGCCTGACTGCTAGTAATCTTTTGAAAAGATAAGATAAAGTAACTGGTTTTGTTAGAGGCTTTTTAGACTTCAGCTGAATTAGGGGTACCCTCCCCAGAAAGCTATTTGCAGATCAGCTTTGAATGCCAGTAGTTTCCTGTTCCCACCCATCTCCATTCCTTCTAAAATACATCCCTGTTATCAGACAAATGATGCTCTTTTATTGTGAAAGTTAAATTTTGTGTTCCTCCTGTCTCCTTGTAGAGAACAAAATGAAGCTAATCTCTTAAGCATGTTTATGGCTTGGTATAGTTACATGTTCTCAACATGTTTCTCTAAATTGATTTACATTGTAACCATTGCTTCTTTTAATCTTGCCTATTTTCAAATAGGGTAAGAACACACCATTTTAGGAAACAAACCAGAACTAATCCTACATATACATATAAGATCCAGCATAAGAAAAACTCGAGTATTTTCATTTGTAAGTTTTAAGTAATGTTTGATGCCAAATTTAGTTAAAGATTGGGGTTAGAGCCTCCAAATTACACAATACAATACATAGGAAGTCTAAGACCTCAAGACAATTTTAGAAGACATCTCTGCTCGATTGCAAAATATCCATTTTTAAGGTCTTTACAAAGTCCTTTCACATACATTCTCTGGCATGATTCTTCCAAGGACTCTGAGGTAGCTGAGGAAGAGGAGGCAGTATCCCTCTTGAATGAAGAAACTGATTGCCCAAGATCTCATGAGCATACACAGTCGACATGAGATTTACAGCTGGTTGTGAGTTGCATCCAAAGGTAGACTCTGGTGATGTGATTTGACTGAATTTACCTGCTCAGTCATTCTTGTATTCGGTAACCCTGGCAGAACTACTGTGTTGATCTTAGGGACACAAAATCTTCCTATCACCAATAACAAGTTGGTGTTCCCTTGGAGTCTTGCCTTCACTTTTTAAACAACAAACCTCTTAGACCATTAGAAAGGCATGATACGGGGCTGGGAATGTGGCTTAGTGGTAGAGTGCTTGCCTAGCATACATGAAGCCCTGGGTTTGATTCCTCAATACCACATAAACAGAAAAGGCTAGAAGTGGTACAGTGACCCAAGTGGTAGAGTGTTAGCCTTGCACACAGAGAGGCTCAGGGACAGTGTCCAGGCCCTGAGTTCAAGCTCCAGGACTGGCAAAAAAAAAAAAAAAAAGGAAAGAAAGGGGAGGGGGGGGGGGGGGGAAGGAAGGCAGGCAGGCATCTGAGGATATTATTGATCAAGAGGCAAACATTCCTCTCTGGCTTAGGCAGACCTCTATAGGTATCCGTCCTATGTATACATGGCTTACTGGAGACTTAGTGGAAGCATCTAATAACTCCTGCCCAGGACATCATATGCTCTATAAAAAGTTTGAAAAGCTGACAGTCGTCACCAGATCTAGAAAGAAAACATCTTCAGGAAGCAAGAATAATGCTTTTTTGTCCATAAACAATTTGCCTATTTTGTTTATTTTCCTGATTATGAGAAATAAATAGGTTGGAATCATCAGAGTCACCATTGTTTGTAAGTAAATGATATACTCAAAATTAGTCTCATGCCGGTGGCTTTCACCTGTAATCCTCAACTACTCAGGAGGCTGAGATTTGAAGCCAGCCTGAGCAGAAAATCCCTGAGACTCTTACCTCCAAATAACCACCAAAAACAAAAACCAGAAGTGGAGCTCTAGCTCCAGTGGTAGAGCATTAGCCTTGAGCAAAACAGCTCAGGGCCAGCACGTAGGCTCTGAGTTAAAGCCCCAGGACTGGTATACACACAAAAAATTATAAAGAGCTTCATTATGGCCTAAATCCCTCTTCAGCTATGTGTATTTGGGTGTACACACACACCACACAGACATACATAGTTTACAGACATAGATACATATATCTGTTTTCTGTTTTGTATTTATTTTTTACTCAGTACATTTGGTCTGCCACAAGAAGACTGGCAATATAAAACTGATCCTATATATGAAAACTCATAAATTTCCATCCTGCTAAATGAAAAACAACAAGAAAATCCATGCAACATGTATTAACAAGTTTCTTCCTGACTTTTACATTCTTTTTCAACACAACAGAAGTCTCTCATACTGTGCTTGGTGTTTTCTGATTTTGATTTTGCCAACTTATTTCTTTGCCTTTTTGAGGAGGAATAGGTAGTGCAGATGCATGAATCCCACACCTGGAGGATGGCTGGTAACCCTCTCAGGTGCTCATAAGTGGTGAGATATTACCCAGCCCAATCATAGATCCTTCAACTAATTATTTAATTTGCAGCATTTCTGTTCCTGAGTCTGCTCTGCATAGTATATCCATTCTAGCAAATTTCCAACCGCATCTCAAATCATTCAGAATCACCTGGCCTTACTGTCCACAGGCTCTCCATTCCCAAAGGCTGAGACCACTTGGCTTGTTTTGCAGGGCCTGCCCAAGAGCGGGTGCTCAACAGATTGGCTCAATAGCATTTCCTCAGTTGTCTTCCATGGAGAATGATGGCCTTGAATACAAAGTTCGACATAAAATGTGTACACTTAAGCTGCCAGAGTGGACCGTGTTCATCTGTGGAGTACACATTGTGGCTGGTCACTTCAGTAGCTAGTCATTCCTTTCATGCACAGGCTCAGCCACATATGTGTGGGCAGTGTTTGTGTGTGTGTGTGTATGTGTATTTGTGTATGTGTGTATCTATTCAGGAACTCTGTCACTTGAGTCACACTTCAGCCCTAGTTTTAAGGATCTTGAACAAATTCTCTACCCATTTGAGAATGAAACGCACATATATTTAGTTCAGGGTCAAGAGAGTATATTTAAATAATTGATGTTTTAAAAGTTTAAAAGGCCTAAGTGCTCATGGCTCATGTCTGCAATCCTAGCTTAAAGGCTGAGATCTGAGGATCCAAGTTTGAAGCCAGTCTGGACAGGAAAGTTCATGAGATGCTTATCTTCAATTAACCACCGCAGTGTTGGAAGTGGACTGTGTCTCAAATTGTAAGTGCTAGACTTGAATGAAAAAGCTAAGGGACGGCTTCCAGGCCCCGAGTTTAAACATAAGGACTGGCACCAAAAAAACCCACAAAAGTTTAAATAAAATGTTAATTTCTTTCCATGAATGTTCTTTAATTGTAATGAAATTTATTAGGAAAAGTACAAGAGTTATCTTTAAGAAGCACAATATTTTTAAACCAAATTCTTAAAATTACTTTGGGCTTTAAAATATTGGTGATAATTTTTTGCATTTTGCTGCATTGACTTCAGTTTTTCTGCTGAATTTTATCTAGGGATCATTTTTTTCTTTTTTTCTGTCATTTTTCCTTTTTCTTTCATATTTTTTTCCTTTTTATGGCATGTGGTTTCGTCTCTTTTGTAGTCTAGCCTATCTTTGAACTTGTGATCTTCCTACTCAGCTTCCTAAATTCTTTTTTTTTTTTTTTTGCCGGTCGTGCGGCCTGAACTCTGGGCCTGGGCGCTGTCCCTCAGCTCTTCAGCTCAAGGCTAACACTCTACCACTTGAGCCACAGCGCCACTTCCAGCTTTTTCTGCTTATGTGGTACTGAGGAATCGAACCCAGGGCCTCATGCATGCAAGGCAAGTACTCTACCACTGAGCCACCTTCCCAGCTCCTAAATTCTTAGATACAGGAATGCACCCACATACTAAACTTGAATCATTTCTTAATTGCTATTCCAGTTTCAGGGTCTGAAGAAAGATGGTGAACTCAGATAGGACAAGATAGGGATAATTTCCCTCATGGCTATTCTAAATATTTGAAACACTTTCAAGGCTGGTCATAGCCCTTGGTGAAGCACAGTTGGTAAGGCATAGGTGATGTATGCAGGTGTGAGTTGTATTCTCCATAATTAGAAGAACCTTTGTATTCCAGGATGGGAAGCGTATCCTTGTCCCCAGGAAAACAGTAAGTCCATTGACAAAAGCACACACACAAAAGAGCTAAGTCAACTTATTAAACAATTCTACACACACACACACACACACACACACACACACACACACACACACACACACCTTAAAATAATATTCTCACAAACAATCTGAGTTTAGAGAATGGGTATCAAGGACATGCACAAAAGCTTTCGTTCCACCCGTATGTAAGTGACTCTAGAGAAAGAGAAGTGAGAAACGCCCGACTACATAACAGTCTTTGGGGCAGGGGAGGAGGAAATAAATAGTTCATAGCTTGGGTAAATCCTCTGTCCCATAGTCCAGATGTGGCGCTCCCATGATATCACGAGGCAGTAAACAGCCAAATATTGTCCAGACAATTTCCTGAGACTCAAGTGCTCATCAGAGTGTCTCATCTTGCTCTTTCCAAAGCCAGCGTGATTGGCTTCTAATTTCTCAGCCTGGAGTCAGCCATCCTGCAATACACATAAGAAGGTTGCATGGCTGAGTCTTACCAAAATAAGAGTAATCCTAGCAAGTGGTTTTGCTCATGAATGTAGGGAAGATCACAAATCATCAGTATCATCTAATCTCAGAATTAAAATCATGTGGCTACGGGCAGTGGCTCAAGCCTGAAGTCCCAGCTACCAGGAAGCTCAGGGGAAAAGGTTACTTGAGCCCAGAAGGTGGAGCCAGTCTGGGCAACACTGAAAACTTGTCTCACAAAATTAAGTTTGCCTGGAACCAGTGGCTCACGCCTGTCATACTAGCTTCTCAGGAGGCTAAGATCTTGAGGTTTGTACAAAGCAAGCCTGGGCAGGAAAAGTCCATGAGACTTCTCTCCAACTAACCATCAAGAAAACAAAAGTAGAGCTGTGACTCAAGTAGAAGAGCACCAGCCTTAAGTGAAAAGCTAAGAGACTTGAGTTCAAGCCCCAGTACTGGCACAATATAAATACATACATACATACACACATATTAAAATTAACATCATACTGTCCACCCAGCATATATAAAAGATGTCCATGTATGGGCCAATAAGGATTTGTGTAATACAGGGTTTCTTAAAATGTACTCCACAAACATATTAGCCCTTCAAAATGCAACTAGTTAAAAATGCCTCCCTCGGGGCTGGGAAGCTGGCTCAGTGGCAGAGTGCTTGCCTAGCATGCATGAGGCCCTGGGTTCCATTGCTCAGCACCACATACACAGAAAAAGCCGGAAGTGGTGCTGTGGCTCAAGTGGTAGAGTGCTAGCCTTGAGCAAAAGAAGCTCAGGGACAGTGTTCAGGACCTGATTTCAAGCCCCAGGACTAGCCAAAAAAAAAAAAAAAAAGCTTCCCTCTTAGAAATCCACAATATAAATTTTAATAGAAAAGTACTTGTGGATATAAGAAGTGGATATATAAGAACTTACATAATCATATATACATACATATATTTGTATATTAAACATTGAATTTTATTATTCATCATACTACGATAAATATTTGTTGATTCAATTTAATCTTGCAAATATAATGGAAAACAAAAGAAGGCTTACAAAGAAAATACTTATATTCTTATTGCCAAGAGAGTAATCATGGCAGTCTCTGTAATCTAAGTATGTAGTGGTCACTTGGGAGAGAGAATCTGTCGCCATGGGAAACACGCACACCTTTCAACTTCAAAATGAGGTTAAATCCTAGCACTTCATTGAAGGAAATGCACAGGTTATAGACCCAAGTACATTTTCAGTTGCTATGGTTTGCACATATCCCTTAAAATTCATATCATAATTGTGGAGAGGTAAATACAATCGAAGTATGTTATATATAGGTATGAAAATGTCACAGTACTTTGTACAATTAATACAGGTATGAAAATGTCACAGTAGATGGGCGCCGGTGGCTCACACCTGTAATCCTAGCTACTCAGGAGGCTGAGATCTGAGGATCGAAGTTCAAAGCCAGCCTGGGCAGTAAAATCTGTGAAACTCTTATCTCCAATAAACCACCAGAAAACCGGAAGTGGCGCTATGGCTCAAGTGGTAGAGCGCTGGCCTTGAGCTTAAGAGCTGAGGGACAGCCCCCAGGCCCAGAGTTCAGGCCCCACGACCAACAAAAGAAAAAGAAAATGTCACAGTACTTTGTACAACTAATATATGCTAGTGAAAGTTAATTAGAAATTGAAAGAAAAACTAGAAATTGAAAGAAAAACTTGACTCCGAAATTCCCATGTGCATGGTATTCAAAGGTAAACTTTGGAAGGGGTTGAGGAGGAGATGGCATGAGGATGGGGCCTTTATCAGGGTATTGTGGCTTTCCAAGAGCGAGCTGAGTGGCCTGCGTGCTCTGTGCTGCAGGTGGAGTCCTCTGCCATGCTTTAATGTAGATGCTGGTATCTCGGCAGTGCACTTGTCAGCCTCCAGAACCTCCCGCTACCTAAGTAACATCCTTTTGTAAGGAACCTGATTCTAGTCTCAGAAAAAGGACTGACACCTGTTGCTTATCACTTTAGAATTTTTTAGGGCTGAGAACTATCACCTGATGCTAATTAAGGCAGAGCGCCTTTAATGCATTCGTTGGTCTTGCCTGGCAAAAAAACCAAAAGTTTAATAACTGCTTTGTCTACATTACTCAACTTGTGGTATAACTTCTTTCACATTTTTTTCCTATGTGTTTTTTTTTGCCTGACCAAGGTCAAATGTTTTCTCATTTTCTACTGATCTGGTTGAACGTAAAACTATACGCCATATATATGCATTTTACACAGGACCATAACTGCATCTAATGACTGGCACAGAGAAACTAAATATTAGTGGTCAGTGAGGCTTTCCTATGATTTATGAGATGAGAAATTGAAAGGTCAAGAGATCATTTGAAAATATTTGGATTTCATAGTGTGTGCATTTTATTTCAACAAAGCAGTCTTTTTAAAGAAAATATTATTTCACCTATTTTTAGTCCTGAGGATTGAACCGATTCTTACGCATGCTAGACGTGTGCACCACTACTGAGCTACACCCCCAGCTCCCACAGAGAGATTCTCAAAAGTTAGTGCCCTTGAGATCTGCACTTTCCCCTTGAGGGAAAAGAAGGAAAGAGGAGGAGAAAAGAGGCGAGGAGAGGAGACAGGAGGGGGAAAGAAAGAATAGAAAAGGAGGTGTAGTTTGAATAAATGTCACCCAAGAGCCCTTCAGGTTAAATAAAGGCTTGGCCCTCAGCCTGGCTCTACTAGAAGGTGCTGGAATCCTGTAACAGGTGAGGGCTAGTGAGAGGTTTCAGGTCATAGCATAAAGCTGGGCCGGAGGGGTGGCTCTAGTAGAATGCCAGCTGTGAGCAAGACAGTTTTAGGAACAGGAGGCACTGAGTTCAAGCCTGGGGAAAGAGAAGGGAAGGGAAGGGGAGGAAAGGGCAGGCAGCAAACAAAGCCCTGACTTTGTAATACATTTCCTATGGCTGGGGCAGTACAAGGCCTTGTTCCTACCTTCAGTGAGGATAGAGCTAGAGGGATGATGGCTAAAGGTTAACAGGGCTTGCTTTATCAGGAGGCAGTATGGAGACTGTGGGCTTGGGTCTCCAGAAGAGTGGAATGTGGAGGGCCACCCAGGAGAACAAAGCGCACTGGCTCAGTCCAGTAGAATCTCTGCCCAGCTCAACACTCCATTCAGGAGCCATTTCCACAGGAAGGTGATGGCCACGCTCCATGACATTGCTTTAAATTTCTCCAAATCCTTTTTCTTCGTATCCTACGAGCTGTTGACTCACAGATTTATTGAACGCCATCTTGAATCAATTTATAATTTCAGTGTGTTCTAATAGATTCCATATGGGTCTTAATTGACTTGAGCTGATCTGAATGTAACCCTTGTGTAGAGGCTGAGCTGGTTCACAGAGCTTTGGGGTCTTTATCTCTGACTCTCACTACCTTTTCTCTGTGCTGCTGTCAAAAGTCTTTTTTTTTTTTTTTTTTTTTTTTTTGTAGAGAAAAATCTTTCCAATTCTGCTCTGTCTCCAACTCTTGCTTCCATTGCCCTGACTTTGGGCCCTGGTTCTTGCTTGAACAATTAAAGCTCAGGGGCATAGTGCCCTGGATTTTAGATACATGGAGTCCACAGGCATGACCACCTTTGCAAAGCATTAGAACACAAGCCAGGTCCGTTTTCCACACAAGGGAAAGGAGGTGCAGGGAGAAGCAGCCATCTTCCCCAGGTCACACAACTAGCCAACAGCCACCCTGGCAATGGTATGCTCGATTCCCGCAAACACTACTTTCAGAACTATCAGGCTGCCTACCGAAGCCCATCTCAGCACCTCCAACCTCCTGATTTCATTTGAGGATTGACGGGCACTGACCTCACCATCCTATCTGGTTTCCCCCTGACCATCATCTTCATCAGGTTCAAACTCGGTGCCCCGATCTACCACATCCACACCGGCTTGTACTCTTGGCTTCTCATTTTCCCACTTGGCAAAGCCTTTGTCCTTGGCGGCTTTGTCATGGAACTTGGATTTCATTTTGGGAAACGTGTGGGACCCAGAATCCCCCCAGCTGGCTTCTGACCACACAGGTTCGGTCTGGGTGGCCTGGCTGGTGGTAGCCCGCTGAAGTCTCACAGAGATCTTACGAGAGGAGCCGGTGACCAGTGTGATTGCTCTGCTGTCCAGATCCCGGTGTCCAGCAGTGACCCCTGGAAACTCAAACACCTCATCCTGCACTGTGAGGAGAAAGAGGAAGGTGAGTATTTGGCATCTGTTTGACAGCCAACCTCCCAAGGGGTTACAGCAGGAGTCCCACATTCAAGGTCAAGGTTGGAGAGGAACACACCACGCGGAGGACAGACTACATTAGCTGCAGCTGAGTTGCGCCTTTAGCAGGACAACAACATAGAGAGAAAGTGAGGAGGATCAAGGAGGCTAGCCATGGATGCTCATTGGTGTTTCTACTAGACTCGGTTTAAACCAAGAACCTACATGAGGTCGAAGGGTGGAGAAGTGTGGCAGCCAGGAAAGCAGAGAGCATTACCTGGGGGCAGTGAGGGGCTTCCTGGCAGTGATCCATGACTACTGCCCAAGGAGGGTGCCCGAGCAAGTCGCCTGCAGGCCAAGACCAGAAGGTCCTTGCACTGCTTGTGACAATTGGCTCCACAGTCTGAAAAAAAAATCCCAAGTGCATCATAGGTGGTGAAGGGGAAGGACATGGACCCGGTGCTGACAGGGTTCTAGCATCTTCCCTCCCCTCCCCTCTTCTCCTTCAGACTGGGTTGGATCTCAGAGTCCTCCTTAGGCCCGCAGAGCATTCTAGGGGTTGGAAAAGAGCCTTGGGCCTCTTCTTTGTTTCCTGTAGGAATAAATTCTCATAATGCCCTCAGCTTATTTCTCTATTCAAGTCACTGAAGTGTCTGCCGAGCAAACAAACAGAATCCAACCTGAGACATCTGTTTGCCTTTGCCTAAAGCTAACTGGACATTTTTATGGAGCCTCAGTTTCTCTTACTAGCAGGACCACCTGCTACCTCTCCATTAGGGCATAGTGTTTCTCCATTCCGTAAAATTCATTTCCCATTTTCCAAGTACTTTTCTAGAGTATGTGATTATATCTTCTGCTTCCTTTCATTGTATGGAAGTAGAAAACAAGGCTGGCTTCTACTCCATAAACAGGCTCCACATGGAGTCTATAGCCTTGCAGGGGACAGCAGAATCTGAGAAACCTCCCACAGCAAGGTCTGGTGAAGACAGTCAGATACTAAGCAAGAACCAGCTCCTGCTTAAATAGCAAGGATGTAGCATAAGCCTGTATAAACAAGTAACACATTTCTAATATGTATTGTATATGGCATTTGCTAAATCCCTGTATATTTATAAATTTGTTTATAAATGTCAGTGAAATGGGGGCACTAAAAGTAAGCTCATTACAAGCAACCACAAGTGTAAAGGCTTCTCCTCTTCCACTACCCCTGTGATTTAGTAGAGAAGGGAGCAGAGAGAGGGAGAACAGCCTTCCTCTTCCAACCCTGGGTGTGGCTCCTTCCATTCTCTGCAGTATTTTAGGTAGGTAGGCCTGTCTCTCTTCAGAAATCCCTCATTCCAACCTTAACTGGTGCTGGTTCTCAAAGGATCATGGAGCTGAGGGATAAGCTGCAGTGTTATTAGGGGAATTTGCTGTCCTCTTGTCAACAAGCCATACAACTCACATTTTAGACAGGAAGGTCACAGATTTGTCACCAGTGTGGGCTTAAAAAGTGAATTCCAGCTGGGCGCCGGTGGCTCACTCTGTAATCCTAGCTACTCAGGAGGCTGAGATCTGAGATCACGGTTCAAAGCCGGCCTGGGCAGAAAACTCCGTGAGACTCTTCATCTCCAATTAACCACCAGGAAACCAGAAGTGGTGCTGTGGCTCAAGTGGTAGAGCGCTAGCCTTGAGCTGAAGAGCTGAGGGACAGCACCCAGGCCCAGAGTTCAAGCCCCATGACCACCACCACCAACAATTAAAAAAAAAAAGTGGGGGCTGGGAAGGTGGCTCAGTGGTAAAAGCGCTTGCCTTGCATGCCAGAGGCCCTGGGTTCGATTCCTCAGCACCACATAAGCAAAAAGAAAAAGGCCGGAAGTGGCGCTGTGACTCAAGTGGTAGAGCACTAGCCTTGAGCTGAAGAGCTGAGGGACAGCGCCCAGGCCCAGAGTTCAGGCCCCACAACCGGACCCAAAAAAAAAAAAAAAAAAAGTGAATTCCAAACATCCTGGGTTACACACATATCAAGATCCTGGGATAGGCCTGGAGAAAATGCCCTGAAGTGAATGAAGTAAATCAGGCCAGAGAGACAAGGGATGTGTGTTTTTCTCTGCTACATGGAAGCTAGAACTAAAATATAAATGTATACGAAAACACATACAGAGTTGTCTGCCATGTGTCCACAAATGTATTCAATAAAATACGGTATTTTCAGGGGAGAATTCAGAAGGTGTAACTTCCTTAAAGACAAACACAATTCACCAGATGAATACCAAGAAACTGGTACTTGAAAGGTGGAAGAGGTTAAAGGGAACGAGGTAGAGGAATAAAGAGGGGAGGGAGGGTAGAATACACGCATAAAATGGCTTATCCAACAAAACTATGAACATTGAAGGGCGAGGACAGGTTGGGAGGGATGGGAAGAATGATGAAAGGCGTAATATTGTCCAAGATGCATGCATTCCTAAACCGATTTCTTGAATGGTAACTCCTTTGTGCAATTACTTCAGGATAATACAAATATCATTTTTAAAGACTCTGTTTTGAAAATCAAACAACCAATCAAAAAATTTCACATTTTACCTCTCCAAAACTGGGACTCTTTCCTGAACATGATCACTTATGTCCTTCGTTCAAGAAAGACCCCCAATTCTAGATAATGCCAATTGCTTCAGTGGTTAAACCAGACTAATTGATTCCTATTGAAAAATGTCAAAATATTTTTTTCAATACTAACAAAAAAAACCACCCCACATTTATTTACCTTTGCATTTGTATCCTTGCTTGATGATGCCCCAGAGCTGTAACAAAAGACAAAGGAAAGTCAGGGAATCTGAAGAAAACTCTTGAAGGAAAACAGGGCTACAGAAAGGGATGTCCTGGGAAACAGGATAATAAGAAACAAACAGGATGTAGCTGCTGGGACACACTTCCTGTCTGAGAGGAAAGCCCTCCCCCAGTCTTCCCAGCTCTGGTGATGGGATGAGAATCTGAAGTTGGTACTTTGGTGATGATATAGCCTCAGGAAAATTTATTGGGAGAGATGGCCACTCGGGGGTTCTAGCAAGCCCCTCACTCTCCCTACCCTTCAAGAATGATGCCCTTTGTGGGAAATAAAGTACTCTAAGAAGAGCACTGATTTGGATTCTGTCTCTATATTTTCTGAGTTGTTCCTTGAGGAATCCAGAAGAGCAATGGATTATATGTATTCATGGATTCAATATTCATATTTGCTCTATGTTTGATCTATGCCAGGGCAGTTGGAGACATCAAAAAGGCTTGGAATCTGCTAACCAAGATCAATGACTTCCAAGTCGTTGATAAGTGGGATGTGATTATTAAATTAGAATTGCAAGAGATCGGTGTTTTGGACTAAGCTGCTGCACTGGGCCCCAACAGACCAGGTTAAAATAAAAATGGGTTCTATACCACCAAGCTGAAACTAAGTTGTTTATCAGACCTCCTCAGAAACCAGGAGGAATGAGAGATAGCTACAGTTCCCAAACATCCAGTGTCAGTGGCCACAGTAATGAAGTTCCTTTTACTTACCCTAACAATCTGAAGAAAATATATTAACTAGTGGTTTTTCTCTTGTTCTGTCTCCCTAACCCTGGCTTATAAGCAATCAAGGGGCCAATCAGTTTTTAGCATTTATTTATTCATTATTCTTAAGTAGTTGCACAAAGTGATTTCCACTCAACATGTCAGTCTGGGACTACAATGCATCTTGATCAATCTTACCCTCTCATCTTTCTCCTCCATCTCTCCCAACCCTATACATCCCCTCAGTTTACCTAATTCCATGTTTACTTATACACATTGAATATCATGACTGCATTTGCCTGCCCTTCCTCTCTCCATTCCTCTATTTTCTTCAACCTCTCCCTGATTGTAAAGCCAACCAGTGCTGCTTGGCTCTTATGGAATACTTATTCTATTATGGTCCTAGAATCCCAAACAAAGCCAAGTTGAATAGCCACAGCTAGCACTCTACCACTTGAGCCACGTCACCACTTCTGGCTTTTTCTGTTTATGTGCCACTTCTGGCTTTTTCTGTTTATGTGGTACTGAGGAATCGAATCCAGGGCTTCGTGCTTGCCTGTTGAGCACTCTACCACTGAGCCATATTCCCAGCCCTCAGGAAGGGTTTAAAAGAAAAATCTTTGCCCAGGCAGTTCTGTGCTGTCATCCTGTTGGTGGTTTCTTTACTGTCCTCATGTAGGCTCCATTTAAATTCTGAGTTCAAGGAAACCTTTCCAAGTCTTCCCTTCTCTCTGCCCACAGAGCTGAGCACAGGGAGAATGAGGGCACCACATACCACTGTGTTGGGCTCAACTTAATTAAAGAGGCTTAGCTCAAGGTGAAAGACTTCCACTGCCAACATTTCCAGAGGTCAGGATAGGTGTGTGTTGTTTGCTTAATGAAATGATGTGGAAAGAAGCAGGATCAGTGGCCTCCTGGGGCTTGTGAACATTTTCATAATGTATTTCAGGCCAATGCAGCCCCCAGGTGTGGGAATCATGGCCCTAGGGAAAGAACAAGTGAATTCCAACACACAGTGACTCAGGACAGCAGCTAGACTGTTCTTTAACGTTTTCCTAACAAGGAAATCCCACCAGTGGAAAGCCCAGGGCTTCTGTGAGCCTCAAGAGTTACTTAAAATGCTTTATTAAGGGCTGGCGGTGGCACAGTGAATGAGTGCTTGCCTAACCCTGGGTTCAAGCCCCAGTCCCACAAATAAAAAAGCTCTCTCCTGCCAACAAGAAAAACAACCATCAAAGGCAGAGATCCTCCCAGACTCTCTTCCTTTATAGGGAAAATATGGTGGACTTGTGTGGGTTTCATCAGAATACATTATTAAGATGCAAACGCCTCCTGAGACAGGGCAACCCTCTGCCTACGGGCTAGGAAGAAATATTTGACAACTGAATGGTTGAAAGACCTAGAAGCAGAGGATGAGCGGAAAAGGGATGGGGGACTGGAAAGAGAAGTGGGTGGTCAGGAGAATCATGCTTTGTCTAAACCACAAGGATTTGAAGATGATAGCCAGCTGGCATCTCCTTTATAAAAGGTGACTATGATTATCCAGGAAATAAATAATCTGTCAGGTTCTACCACATGGAAAACTTTGTAGTGATAAAAAAGATTCTCTGCTGGAATAGCTTGTAATAGTAATAGTTAATGATGATAGCTAACGTTTATTGATCTCGTGTTATGTGAAAGGCACAGTTTAAAGCTCTTAATATGTATTCACCTACTTGATGTTCATGATGGCCTTTTGAGACAATATTTTCTTCATCTTTACAAGGTGTCATAGCTAGTAAGTAAGGGAGACTGTGTCACCTAAGGAAAACAGAGGAGGGCATTGTTTCTGGTGGTCTGCATGTTAGCAAACCCAGGGCAGTGGGCAGAAAGAATGACTTAAGTACAGCTTTGTGGGGAACTGGGGAGTACACACCTGTAATCCTAGCACTAGGGAGCCGGGGCAGGAAGCTAGCTTAAGCTAACTAGTGAGACAATAGAGGGATATGTACTAAAATTCAGGACCTAGCAGGAAGGAAAGTGAGCACATTGTTTCCCAATGCTCGCCTGACCACCATGAGAAAACACTAGCCAGGGAGAAGAACTGACTCAGTGCACCAGGCAAGGAAAGTAGAAGGTGAACTCATGTAGATGGGTATCAGGAGGATTTCCCACAATCCTTTGTCCTGAGATCAAAGGCTGCGGTAATATTTGGAGGAATTCTTCATGATGTCAGGAGCGCTGGACTGACCATCACGAGCCCTGGCTACGGTTCATGGTCCTGCTGCTAATTGCCCATGCGCCCTCCAGGAAGTCACCTTAACTTCTCCAGATCTCAGTGTCTTCATTTATAAAATATGGGGATTACCAACATTCGTTCAATTCCAGATTCCTAATTCAGACATGTACCACAGGGAAAGTAGAATCTGTCCTCCTTGCCCTTAAAATAGAATCTATTTTCAAAAAAAGAAAAGCCAAGGCGACTGGGAAATGGTCTCTTGCATTCCTTCACAATTTCTTTCAATGATGTATCTTTAGAGTTCTATTTATAGATTCCTTTTTTTAAAAAAAAAGACAATCATTTTATGTTTGTAAATTAAGATTAAATAAAACTGTACCAATGGAATTAAGTACATTTAAAAAATATAAAGGATTATAAAAACTAAAGATGGCCTACTTTCGGAACTCTAAGAGTGTCAAGGAATGCTTAAAAAGGAATATAGCAAACATCCCATGATATTTTCTTTTTATTTATTTTATTTTTTAAATTTATTTATTTTTATTGTGAAAATACCATACAGAGGGGTTACAATTACACAGGCAAGGTAATGAGTACATTTCTTATCAAGCATTGTTGCCTCCTCCTTTGTTTCCCTTTCCTATCCCTTCCCCCCCTACCCCCCATGATATTTTCTTTGCGGCAGCATGTCTGGTGTTAACTTGATCACTACAATGATAACATGGTGGCTAAGTGTTCTGTGGAGTCCCTTTTACAGGTAGGAAACAGAGACTCAGAGACCTTATTCAAGGACATAGAATTAGACATAGAGGCAGAACTGAGATTCAAACCCCTGGGTTCCAGACTCCAAGTCCAGGGCTTTCTACTTCATCTCAGCTGTATGAAGGGCCATTCAGCACCAGCACTGATGCTCTCATGAGTCTAAAAGAGCAGAGTTGATCATCATCACACCTCACCATAGGTCAGATGACTTATCCCAACCATGGGGGAACCATGCCAAGGCATCATTGCTACTTGGTCAGTTGTTGGAGGTTGGACTTTTACAGGCAGCATTACACCCAGCCCATCCTACTTAAGCTCTATTTTGTTTATTTGCTTGCTTTTTGGTGTTTTTTTTTTAAAAGGTTTTTTGTTGTTTGTTTGTTTATTGGTGCTGGTCCTGGGGCTTGAACTTAGGGCCTGGGCACTGTCTCTGAGTTTATTTTTGCTCAAGGCTAGCTAGTGTTCTGCCACTGGAGTCATAGCTCCACTTCTGGCTTTTTATGGTGCTGAACTGGAAATAAAAGTCTCATAGACTTTTGTGCCTGGCTGGCTTTGAACTGTGATCCTCAGACCGAAGCCTCCCAAGTAGCTAGGATTATAGCTATGAGCTAACAGTACCTGGATGCCTCAACATTTTTTTTAAGGTTGTGCCTTTATTTTTTATTTTGCCAGTCCTGGAGCTTGTCCCTGAGTTTCTTTTGTTCTAGGCATTCTACCACTTGAGCCACAGTACGACTTCCACGTTTTTCTGTTTATGTGTTACTAAGGAGTTGAACCCAGGGCTTCATGTATGCTAGGCAAGCACTCTACCATGAAGCCACATTCCCAGCCCCTGCCTCGACATCTTTTTAAACTTTAAATCATAATAGAGAAACTAGAGACACATGTAAAAAGAGACACATTTATTTTCGGATGGAGTGGTCTGGTCATGCACTTCCTGTGGGAAAACTAACAGAAGAGGAAGTTTTTCCTCCCTAGGGTGGGTGAAGACTAATTAGGCTGGTCTTTCCTCATAACCACAGGAGTTTCTTATGACCACCTGGGGCCATCTTTGAGTTGACAGCTACCTCTTATTTATCTGTTTCCAGGAGGAAGTCTGCTTGAAAACAAATGCCTAACTTTAGACTCCTCAAGCCAGCCAGGGCAGAAGAGTAGGTGAGACTTTTATCTCCAATAAACTACTCAGAAAAAGCTGGAACTGGCACTGTGGCTAAAGTGGGGTAGAACGCTAGCTTTTAGCACAAAGAGGCTCAGGGACAGTACCCAGGCCCTGAGTTCAAGCCCCAGGATCAGCAAAAAAAAAAAAAAAGGTTAAGTAAGTAGTATTTATTTATTCCTACTACCATCTTCTCTCCAAAGATTTATTTTTTCCCTGTTTAAATTGGGAGTTATTAAGCTATACCAGGGTGGGTTTGTAGTGATGAATACGTTCTTAGATAAGTGCTAGAAGGAACTGGTTAACATTAGTGTTCCCCTTAATTGTCGTCATTTATGCATCCCAATGATGAATGCCGGCACTCTTTGGTATGACACCTTTCCCTGGCCTAGGTTAGACAGACAAACCACTTTCCTGGACTAAGAGGCCTCACCAGCCTTCCCTGTCTTGGCTAGTTCTACATACCTAGAACATGGCTAACCTCACGGGTCTTGCTTTGGTTATGACTGAGTCTTAGATTTTAAGGAGCCGCCATGTTTTACTTCTGATTTAAAGCAGATGATGGGTGGATTCTATTCAGTCTACCCTTTCCTTACCTTATTGGAATATGACAAAAAAACTACATATAAGGGAAATTAAAAAAAAAAACATAATGGAAAGCAAACTTACAAATCCTGCACAGTGTTCGCAGAAGGTTGGCTTGAGGTAAGTCATCTCCTGAAAGTTATGGACAAATCCTGGTCCCATTTTACAGTGTAGTTGGGATTTAGCTCTCAGGAAGTAAGCCATCATTTCATCTTTACTAATTAGGCCATCCCTGTGAGGAGAATCAGAGAAGGGATCTTTGAGTATCATATTGCTAAGTCGTTGCCATACTTCAATCGCCCACCTCTTAAATCTTTGTCACCAAAACCAGATGAAGAGTGTTCTTTTCCCTGTCACCTCTGGAAGAACGGGAGGACTTCAGAGGACAGTATCCAACATTCAAAGCCATTTTCAAGAACTGGAAGATGGTGTGTGCATGTGTGTATAGGTGTGTGCACATACACAGGATCATACATATGTGTGAACACATGTGGCCTGTGTACTTGAGCTCAGTAAGTCTCCTTTATTACTGAATAGCGGCTTCCAGAGGGACATTTCTCTAGCCCTTTCCTAGCAAGAGGATTTCAAGAATCATGCTTCTGGGGAAAGGTAGGAGACTCAATTAACACAACCCACCATTTAACCTGATGCCATGGGCTACATCCTCAGTGATCTCATTCACATGCTAGTGGCTCACAGCTCAGTCATTGGAGTGATTGTTCCAGATCTCCTCCAAGTAGAACAAAGTCTAGTTCCAAACATTTCCCTACCCGCCCCCCCCCAGCAAACTACAGACCCTGGCTGCTTGCTTATCCAAAAAAAAGATCAAGTCCATATGGCAAAGGTGAACTCCATACTGTTCTTTCTCACAGAAGCATGTGTTGGAGATCAGATTCTTCTTGCCCATTTGGAATTCTTTTACATCTTCTCTGACCTCGCTTGGGTCTTCCTGTGACACGGGAAGGGGATGCCTCCATTCTTCACTTCTGTGGAACTCTGTACCTTCTAGGCCCTGAGAAATCCATTCACTTGGTTTTTCCCTTAGTTTGCAAATCGGACTTTCTCTTCCTGAAACTCTCTCCTCGGTGGTGAGGCCCCATCCCACACTTGTCCTTTCTCTCTTCCTGTTCTCACTCCCACTGTTTTCAAACCCAGCACTCATCAGACTCTTGATTCATAGTTTCGTTTCTAACCCTTCCATCCTACAGAAACTGTTCTCAGTGGCTGTTTCTCATTCTTGGAAGTTCCTAATCTCTTGGAAGCTGGTGGCCTGGGGACGTACTTCCTTGAACCCCCTGCTCCATAAATGGAGTGATTCCATGTCGTCCTGGTTTTCTTCCTTTCCTCTCATGATCTCTCTTCTCTGGCTCTTCTGCAGGCTCCACTTAATGTGTTCAGCTTCAACACGTAGGGAAGGGAGGTTCCCTGCAGGTGCATTCCTCAGACCCTCAGCTCACCTCCGCTAACTTCCCCATTGCCGGGGTCTGGGTGCTCCTGATTCCAGCTAATTCTGCTGAAGACTTAGTCTATGTCTCCACCCATGATTGAGCTCCTGAATCTTGAACCAGAGTCTTCAAAAAAGTTTCTAGATGTTTCTCTTTGCTATTTTCTCTCAAAATCAATCTGTCTAAGCCAAACTCTTCATCCATTTTTTTCCCCCAATAAGTCTTATCCCAGGCCCCAGGTACTATTAGCCATGATACTTTTCTCCCAGATATAAAAATTTCTGATCCTATTCTTGCTTTATATTCTAAAAACACTTGAGAAATACTTAACAAATCTTATTAATGAAATTAATAAACTGTATTAAAATGAAATTAATTCCACTAATAACTATTAATTTTACATTTTTATCAATATGTTTTCCTAATTAAATTTCTAAAAATTTAAAAGCCATCTAGTGTCTTACCTACCTCCAGAAAAATGTGTTAAGTGATCTCTACTTAATCACAAACACACGTAAAGGGAGCCTGTGCTAGAGCTTGAATTCAGGGCCTGTGTACTGTCCCTTACCTTTTCTGCTCATGGCTGGCACTCTACCACCTGAACTACAGTCCCACTTTTGGCTCTTTGTGGTTAAGAGTCTCACGGACTTTGCTGTCAGACCTGGCTTCAAACTGTCATCCTCAGATCCCAGACTCCTCAATAGCTAGGATTATGGGCATCAACCACAGGTGGCCAGTGGAGCCTCAGTTCTTCTGTACAGTTGGGAGATTACATAGATAGATCAAAAAATGAGAGAATGGGGGAGGAGAAGAATACATAAAGAATCACTGAGCCCTACAACCCCAAGGGCATTTATATTACTAGAATATAAAGTGAGTAGCGTCCTGAAGCACAACCATCAGGCAGCAACATGGCTCAATCTCGTCCATGGGTTGACACACAGAAAAAGGAGGAATGGATGCTGTTGCCTAGCCTGTGCAACATGTTTCATCATGTAAATCTAATGCTGAAAGTATCTTGTCAAAGCGCTGTATAATGGTTCATGGCTATAATCCCGGTACCGTGAAGTTTGAGCAGGAAGATTTCACATTCAAGGCCATCCTAGACTAGCAGAAGATCTTGTGAAAGGGAGGGAAGGAAGGAAAAAAGAAAGGTGAAGGTAGGAAGGAAGGAAAGAAGGATGGAAGGAAAGAAGGAAGGAAGGAAGGAAAGGAGGAAGGGAGGAAGGGAGGGAGGGAGGGAAGGAAGGAAGGGAGGGAAGGGGAAGGGAAGGAGAAGGGAAGGCAAGGGAAGGGAAGGGAAGGAAAGGGAAGGGAAGGGAAGGGAAGGACAGAAAGAAGGATGGGAAGGAAGGAGGGAAGGAGGGAAAAAGGTGCTGAGCCAATGCTACAATTCCCAGTTCTTTCGTCTAGGTAGGGCCATGTGATTCTCAACCACGCTAACAACTTGAATGCATGTGACATGTGATACTTGTCCAGATGTGAACATGGAACTCCAGGAAGCCAGAGATATGTAAAGGGGCCTAGTCCGTGAGTTACCCAAAGGAATGTTGACCAGTCATCCAGAACATGGGGCTCACATGAATGGGAAAAACTTGAGTGTGTCACACAAGTGAAAAGTCAGGGTTTGCTGCAGAAGCTGCTGCTTTGCCACTAAGTACCCTTGGAAACATCCAGGGTCCCTCCTGCTTCAGCCCACAGCAAGGGTCTTCATATCATGAAGCTGGTTTCTGTGGCAGTCAGGACAGGCTCTGGCCTTGACTCGGAGAGTCTACTGCACTCACATCCTGCCTCCATGTGCCAATCAGAGGCAGACTATCTCTAGCCCTCAAGTGAAGTTCTGCCAGGCTTTCTGATGGAATGAAGTTTTACTCCCAATATGGCCTAAAACCTATGACTTCTTCCCAATAGAGTCTTCCAGATGAAAGTTCCCACAAAGACTTCTGTGGAAACATAGATCCTTGAGGTGCTAATAGAAAATGTTCAGAGAGTTCATTATTATATACGTAGATAAATACACCTGGAAAATGGGGTGTTATCCCAACACGCCTGAAGAGAGTGGCAACACATCTTAGCCCATTAAAATTTTGGAGAAGTATTGCAGTGAAGACATCCTTTGATTAGATTTAACCCCATATGTCCCACACTCTCTTAGGTAATGGCTGTTCCAAAAAGACTAATAGCTAGTTCTGTGTCACAGAGTTTGGAAAACAATAGAGAAATTATCCATTTGAGACTTGCCTGTTTGAACCCACCCAAATTCCCATCCAAGTAACTATGGTGAAGTTTGAGGTATCACATGTGAGGTATCACAGTGTCTGGCAAAAGAAGTCCTATGAGAAAACCAGGAAAAGTTCAACATTTCATTCTGAGAGAAAACCCATTTCTGTAGCTAACTATGAATATTAATGGATAGAAACGTATCACAGAGTCAGAGTCAGAGCTGCAGAGAAAAGGTAGGCAGGCAGAAAATGATCTGAAATCCATGTCGTGTTTACCTGTGATAGATAATAAACTAGGGAAAGAATAGGTAGTCGGCAGATAATTTAAATTTTACTTGGTAAGCTGGGTGCCAGTGGCTCACTCCTGTAAACCTAGCTACTCAGGAGGCTGAGGTCTGAGGATCGCAGTTCAAAGCCAGCCTGGGCAGGAGAGTCTGTAAGACTCTTATCTCCACTTAACCACCAGAAAACTGGAAGTGGTACTGTGGCTCAAGTGATAAAGTGCTAGCCTTGAGCTGAAGAGCTGAGGGACAGCGCCCAGGCCCAGAGTTCAAGCACCAACACCAATCTCTCCCACAAAAAAAATTTTACTTTGCAACGTTTCTCATTATTTCAATTGTTTCAAAGGTATTTGTTTTGGGATGTAGAGTGAAGATAAATTTTAAGTTCTTTGTGTTCAGGCATCAAGGCTTCAGAAGGACTTACAGATTAAAAACATTTTTTCATACTGACAAAAATGTGTTTAAACTCATCAAATTAGTTGAATGTGACTTAATCTGAACATTTCATCAATATAAAAATCAGAATTTTATTATAGATGTTATTTCTAATTCAGGGCCTCATGCTTGCTTTGCTTGCTCACTGGGCTGGCAATCTACCACTTGAGCCATGCTATTCTGGAGATGTAGTTTCAAGGACTTTTCTGCCCAGGCTGACCTTAAACCATGTTTCTTCAGATGTCAGTTTCCAGAGTAGCTAGGCTTATAGGCCCATATAGATGATTTTTCAAATTAGGCATTAATCTCACACTTAGAAATTAATTAGTCTCTAATTCTCAAGTTCATGACCAGTTTGAGCTACATAATGACCTGTCTCAAAAAAAAAACCTAATAAAACTATTTATGTCAGTCTTCCCAGCAATTATTTTAAATATTTTTTAAAATGAGTTTGATGTTTGCTCTTAAGGCCATTACATTTTTCAGGAATCATTTCAAGTGAAAGAAACTATATTTTCTTCGTTTACAAAGACTCAAAATATGGCTACCATCAGCAATTACCATCTACTTTCATGGAGATCATAAATAATCTAAAACAAAAATATCTCCTCACACACAAGTTTTGAGATTGTCCTCAGGTCTACCCATGCTGTGGGCTCTCCAAAGCAGATATGACTGCATCTTTCCTGACAGAGATTTGCTTGGAGTCAATAGCTAAGCAGAAGAAGTGAAAGAAATGGACAGCAAAGGTTAATTTGCAAATGGACACAAGGATATGGTCTGCCCTGTGACCCCCTTCACCTGGTCATGGTCCTGGATGCCAAAAAAGCAACCACTAACAAGACAGATTTGCTGGGAGCCAGTGGCTCACACCTATAATCCTAGCTACTCAGGAGTCTGAGATCTGAGGATTGAGGTTCAAAACCATCCCAGGCAGGCTGAGACTCTTAGCTCTAATTAAACACCAGAAAACCAGATGTGACACTGTGGCCCAAAGTGGTAGAGCACTAGCCTTGAGCAATGAGCTCAGGGACAGTGCCTATGCCCAGAGTTCAAGCCCCACGACTGACAAAAATAAATTAAGGCAGATTTGACACACTTGAAGCTGTCAAGATGTAAGTGATAGGTGGTCCTGTTTCCCTCTGATATTTTTTTCATTAAAAAAATAACAAACTTTGGTAGCCAGGCATTGGTGACTCAACACCTATAATCGTCCCTACTTAGGAGATTGATATCAGGAGGATCACAGTTTGACACCAATCCAGGCAGAAGACTCCTAAGACTTCATCTCAACAACATGCTAATTGGGAGACATGACTCAAGTAGTAAATTACCAGCTGAGTAAGCATGCTAAACAAGAGTCAAATTCTGAGTTTAAGCCCTAATAGTGGCAAAAAAATTGGGGGTGAAGATGTACTTCAGTGGTAGGACATTTGCCTTAGTGTGTACAAGGCCTTGGTTTTCATCCTCAGTTCTGTGGGATTTTTTTTTTTTTTGACTTACTGATCTTTATCCAGCACACAGAAGGAATCCAGGAAGGGAAAGTTGGCGGCTATACTTTCAAAGTCCTCTTGGGAGATGTATCCGTCATGGTCATGATCGTAGTTTCTAAACACAGACTACAAGAGGAAGACAGCATTTACTGAGTGATGATGTATGAGTTGGGCTGTAGACTTGTCAAGTATGTATGCTGGCCTACATATGTATGTCCTACATACGTATGTTGCCAATTACGAAAGCACTTACCAGCCATTCTCTCAAGAACTTTCGGAATCTAGGGGGAGATCAGAAAAATACAAAATCCTTCACAGTATCAGGTAAGGGGTTTGTTGAGGGGAAAAGCTCTAGGAGGGAAGGGGTGTAAATTAAGAAAGACTTCAAGTGAAGTCTACACGAAGTCCTCTGCTTTGAGCAGGAGTTAGGCTTAGTCAATTTACAAACACCATGACATTAGAAAATGAAGCTTTAAGTTGTTGAATTATCTGGGGCAGATAAACACAGGGTAGAAGTAAGGAGGAAGGTTCAATCCTAAAATTTTTAAAAAGGTAGGGAAGAGGTGGATTGGGTTGGGAGGGAAGGGTTAGAACGTTAAGTGACATTGCTCAAGATGCGTTGTATTTTTTCATATACTGCTTTGTAAAATGACAACTCTTTTTTTTGGGGGGGGGGCGGTCCAGTAGTGGGCCTGAACTCTGGGCCTGGGCACTGTCCCTCAGCTCTTCAGCTCAAGGCTAGCGCTCTACCACCTGCGCCACAGCGCCACTTCTGGCTTTTTTCTTTTTGCTTATGTGGTGCTGAGGAATCGAACCCAGGGCCTCAAGCATGCAAGGCAAGCGCTCTACCACTGAGCCACCTTCCCAGCCCCTAAAATGACAACTCTTTTGGACAACTACTTAGAGCTAATAAAAATAGGTAAAAATATCTCAGAAATCAAAAGTCAATGTTGATTACAATTCCAACCAAATTCCCAGTTGAATTTCTTTTTAAAATTTTCATTATCTAGCTAGCTAGCTATCTCTATCTGGGTGTGTCTATAAGTGTGGGTATGTATGTATGTATATATTTATTTAGGAATGAACACACTGATGCTAAAGTTCAAGGAGAAGTTAATATGTTAATAGCCTAAAAAAGATTCACAATGAACGTAATCGGAAAGAAAGCATCCTTTTCACAAACCAAACATTCTAAGAAGCTAAATCATAAAACAAAATGTGAGTAGTGAAAGAAATGGACAGCGGGGATAATTTGCAAATGCTCAATTATTCTTAGCACACAGCTATGGTCTGCCTGCTGATTCCTTCCGCTGCTAATGCTCATGGGCATCAGGCAAACAACCATTGAAAACTTAGACGTTATCTCACAAGGGTTGAAGCTGGCAAATCAGTTAAAGGTGCTCCTTTTCCCCCCTCTAAAAACTTATTTTCTTTAGGATAGTTGCATTGAAAAATAACAAAATGGCCGGGAGCTCATAGCTCACACCTGTAATCCTAGCTATTCAGGAGGCTGAGATCTGAGGATCGTGGTTCGAAGCTAGCTGAGGCAAGTAAGTCCATGAGACTCTTAGCTCCAATTAAGTATCAAAAACTTGGAAGCAGAGCTGTGGCTAAAAATGGTAAAGTACTAGCCTTGACCAAAAATACTCAGGGACAGCACCCAGACTTTGAGTCTAAGCCCTACAACCAAAAAGGAAAAAAAAAAAGAAAAGAAAAAAGAAAGAGTCACATCCATAGGATTTGAAATGATAAATTATCTAGTAATTGCTGTTGAGTTAAATATCTAAAATCTTTCCAAATAAACTGTACCAAGATACTAGATATGTTAAATATGTTAGTGCAAAAATGCAAAAAATGTTAATGTAATAAAAATTCCAAAGGTAAGTGGATGAAAATACTTTTCATGGTCTGTATTCTTTGAGTGAGAAAGGGCTTTCTTTTTGAGATAGTCTTGCTATATAGCCCCAGCTGTCCTGGGATTTTTCATCTTCCCAGTTGAACTTTCTGTGTGCATCACTGTGCCTTTCTAACCTTCACACACTCCAAAAAACTTTCCTTTTCAGTATTGCACATTTCCCTGGGTTACCAAGATGTAGGATGTTCTTTCTTTTTCTTTAAATATCCTTTCCCAGTAAAAGTACACTCTACCACACAGACTAACCCCTACTGTACCTGAGGATATATCAACCCGAGAAAGCAGGCAGTTAAACAGGCCAAGATCACAATTTCTAGTGCTAAAGATGTTTCCCTTTCTCTATATTGGTGCTTCTACTGGTCTATTTGTTGTTGTTTTGAGACAGGATCTCACTGTGTAGCCCAGTGGCCTCAAACTCATGATCCTTCTGGCTTTCCACTTCCAAGTGCTGGGATTACAGTCATCTACCACCATGCTAGACTCTACTATTCTATCTATATTAAAAAAAAATCTTCCAGATCTTGTGTATATGAAGTGATTTTTCTGCCCTCAATGGCATAAGGTTCCTGTCCCAGACCCCTAAAAAATATATTGGTTATAAATACAGGAGTATTTATCTGGCATTTTACTGTGACTCATGTGGGTTCTTCATGAAGGATTCTAAGATCCCCCCGCCCCCCCCCCCCCCATAGCCCCATTCCCCAAGCTTTTCAAAATTGGTAGCAATGGGAAGTGGCAAGAGAGAAGAGCGAAGTATCTGAGAATATTTGGGCAGATGAGAACACACTGAAAAGAGAGAGAAGGAGTCATTTGGGGGTGGGCACCTCTCTGCCCGCCCAGAGGACAATGCCAAGAGCACCTAAATGTCTGTCAACTTGTTTTGGCTTTCCTGTTTTCATGGCCTCCCTTTCATCTAATCTCCGGACCAATCACAGAACAATTCTGGAAAGAGAAAAGGGCCTTCTAGAACTTTCTGTGTGTTCTCTTTGAACCGCCACTCACCTCCACCAGTTTCCGTATATGCTTGTTGATGACTGTGGGGTCTGGCTTTGGCACTACCCCTGATGCCCACTCCAGGGGCACCACAGGCTTGGTGGGCGTCGTCGGGGAGGTAGGCTGCAGAGAGGAGACACACATTTTTCAACTTTAGCTGGATTGGAGCTATTAGTACCAGGGACACTGAGAAAGACGGTCCCATATGTTAATTATTGCAGTGAGAATTTCCACTCACACCGCCACTTCAATGTTGACAAAATAAGCATCCTTTGTTAATGGGCTCCACTATTCAGATACTGAGTTTTGTTTAGTAGCAACCTACTACGTTTATTTTAATTTTATGTGTTTACATTTGAGTTTTTGAGATGGCATCTTGCTATGTAACCACAGCTGGCCTCAAATTTGCCACATTCCTGCCTCAGCCTGGAAATGCTAGGATTACAAGCATGGTATTACATACCATGCCTGGCTCATTCTATTACTGAATGTCCTCCCAGCCAGGCACCAGTGGCTCATGAGCCCGGTGCTAGTGGCTCACACCTGTAATCCTACCTAATCAGGAGGCTGAGATCTGAGGATCGTGGTTCAAAGCCAGCCCTGGTAGAAAGTCCATGAGACTCAGAAGTGGGGCTGTGGTTCAAGTGGTAGAGCACTTGCCTTGAGTGGAAGAGCTCAGGTGCTGATTTTTTTTTGGTCGGTCGTGGGGCTTGAACTCTGGGCCTGGGCGCTGTCCCTCAGCTCTTCAGCTCAAGGCGAGCGCTCTACCACTTGAGCTACAGCGCCACTTCTGGTTTTCTGGTGGTTTATTGGAGATAGGAGTCTCACAGTCTCTCCTGCCCAGGCTGGCTTTGAACCGCGATCCTCAGATCTCAGCCTCCTGAGTAGCTAGGATTACAGGCGTGAGCCACCAGCGCCCGGCCGAGTGGAAGAGCTCAGGGACAGTGCCCAGGCCCAGAGTTCAAGCCCCATGACCAACAAAAAAGAAAATGCCTTCCCAACCCATCCAAATTCCATTCAAGTTCCCTAAATGCCACTAAGTCATCCTTAAATGGATATATAACAATCCAATATGGTTCCTCATATGATCTAAGTTATATTTTAAAATAGTTATCAAGGGCTGGGAAGGTGGCTCAGTGGTAGAGCGCTTGCCTTGCATGCATGAGGCCCTGGGTTCAATTCCTCAGCACCACATAAGCAGAAAAAGCTGGAAGTGGCGCTGTGGCTCAAGTCGTAGAGCGCTAGCCTTGAGCTGAAGAGCTGAGGGACAGCGCCCGGGCCCAGAGATCAGGCCCTATGACCAGCAAAAAAAAAAAATAGTTATCAAGTTGAGCATGGTAGGATACACCTGTAATCCTAGGACTGAGGAGGCTGAGGCAAGAGGATTATAAACCAAAGGTTGGGCTATAGACCAGAATCTTGTCTCAAAAGAAAGCAGCATTTATCTAATTTCTTTAAGTAGCTGGGCAAAGGAGTTTCCACCTAGCAAAGCAGTTCATGGATAAAATATATCTTGATCAATGTCACCCCTTTCAACATCCTCATCCATCCCTACCCACCCACCCCTTCCCTTGCTCTTCTTAATTTTGTACAATATACATTAGATTCTTGTCTACCTCTTCCCTCTCTTCATTTGTTTATGCCTTTCCCCTGACACTACCCTGCCCCCTTTGAGTAACACTTCTTGGTGTTTTATTTTGGTGAACTTTGATTTGGGCTTCCAAAGGAATTTCACTATTGAGACATTTCTCTATTTTTTAATACTTGTTATCAGTGATAAATTTGCACTAGAAGATACATGTAAATCAATGGACCCCAGTGCATGGCCAAGCACATATCCTTTGCATCTTGCTTAGTGTGCTTAATCACTCTGTTCTGCAGGTCTTTATGTTTCTACATCTCTGGGGTACTTGCTTTCTCCCTGCGTTCTTCTGTACTTCAGGATATTTAAACTTACTATGGGGAAGATGTGGGCAATAACGCATAGCACAGGATGACGCCCAGCCCATCCTATCCGGAGTCTCATGCATCATGGATACCTTCCTGTCCCTGCGACCCACACACTGGTCACACGTATGCGTGAACCTCTATCAGCAGAGTCAGTGTGGTGATGAATTGGGGGTTACACATGTTTGCAAGAGGAACTGAGAAATCACTAGGACACAGTTAAGTCCCAAGCAATGCCGTGAGGTGTGTGTGTGATTAGTGCTATGTCAATGACTAACAGGATCAAAAATACTCTACCCATTTGGACCCATTCATGGACACACACACTCACTCACTCACCTGATCCCCTCCCACTCCCCACACATGCTTGGGGCCCTTTCCATTCACACTCTGAGCTGACGGATCTAGTAGAAGATAGAGCTGAGTTCCAAACTGTACAGCAAAGTCTGCCTGAGAACTGTGGTACATCTCAAGAGCACCCAAAGGTATTTCAAAACTCCAAATGAAGTACAACCAGGCACCCTCCATATTTGTCAGGTGCCACAAAACAACCACCTCAAAGCAACCCACACACAGTTTCTTTACCAGGTCCCACAATGGTAGCTTACAATAGTATCGTAACTTTGTGAAGAAAAAAAAAATGCAAAGCAAGAATAAAAAAGCGGGGGGCTTTCACCTCCAATTTGAATCTAGGACAATAAGTTAGTGTGCAACAGACACATACATCTACTAGTAAGAATTGTGTTTCTCTATGAAGGTGGTAAACACATTTACCTGACTTTCTGCTTACATACATTCTTTTGAAATAGCCATTAAATTGTTAGAACACAAATATTCATTAAGTCAATTGGACCTCACTATTCTCTAAGTATCACTGGTGGGTATTTCTTTGACTTAAGGTACCCTAAAAAAAATCTGTGGGGACACAGAGTTAGCAAGACTCTGGGAACAGAAACAGAGACCTTCTGGGACTGCCTATTGAGGTGAGGTCAGCTAGTGCCACCTCTAAGACCTTCAAGCCACCTGTTCTGAGTAACAGAATCCTGTCTAGAAATTACTCTTTGGTTATCAGCAGAGTCAGAAAGAGACCTAGGATTTTAACACTTGTTCAAAACAGCTTTGAAAACTTGTACTCTTATAGCAAATTGGCTTTTCTATGCTTGTTAGTAATGTCTCTTACATTAGGCAAAAACAACTTACCCCAGAAAATCTAATGAAGCATAAAGTAATGTTCCTGTGACCCTTTCCTACCCTGTTCCTGCTGCAAAGACAGCAGAGAAGGCACAGACACAGAGCTGAGACTGAATCCCTGGGGCCAGCTTAGGGGCATCTGCACTCTGCTGGCCTGGTTTCCTAAACAGAGATAGCATAACTCGGATGTGATGCCTGCAGGCTTCCAGTGACTGGGAGCAAATAACAGCACATGGGGAAAGGGAAGGGAGGTGTCCCAAGGTAGAACATCTGTCTCGGTGCAATCCTAACACACCTAGCCAGGTTCTCTGTACTAACCCCACAGGTGAGATGGGAGATTTCAAATTCTCGTGCCTCCATCAGGCTAACTTTGAACAACCTTGGTCCCACTCCTCCCTTTGAGTCTGTGGAACCTTCCCACGGGTTCTGTTCTCCAGTGTTCCCAGGAGATGGCCTCTGGGGACTGGTGAAGGGAACTCTGGGAACATCATTCCAAGAACAGGTTCTGAGAGGTCAGTTAACTTAGGCTCTAGGGCAGTTCTACCAGCTCTGTCACTCAGTTGCTTTCACTCACTCCAACGGTTTGGAATTGAACTGGTTACTCGTTATTACTAGATTTAGTTATTGCTAGATTTAGTGGCCATAGTTGCTAACCTTCCACAGAACCACCTATTTAAAAGGCTGTGATGAAAACTTCTGAAAGACAACTCCTCTTGGGGCTGGAAATGGGGCTTAAGAGGTTGAGCAGTTGCCTACCAAGTGTGAAGTTCAAACTTCAGAGTGGGGGGGGGGGAGGGGAGGGGAGAGAGAGAAGGGGGGAGAGAGAGGGACATTATTTTGAGCTATGACTAGAAGGAAAAAACACAGACACTTTTATCTTCCAATATGCAAACTGCATCTACATTGTAAACTTTAAAACACATTTTGGCTTTAAAAAAATGATGTTGGGTTTTGAACCCAGGACCTCACCCATACTAGGCAAGCACTCTACTACTGAAGCTACCCTAGCTGACCCAATTTCTATCCAGGTGTTTTCTTTCACTGTAAAACATTTCTAAATATAGCAGTAAACATTTAGGGAAGACATTCTTCAATCTCATTGCAAGTGTTGATTTATAATGGGCCAGCCATCAATTAAATAAGACACTATCCAGTGTGATGTTGGAATTCTGAGTCAACTTTTACAATCACGAATAGAGAACTCTGTGAATTATAAATTAAAATCAAAGTATTTAAAATTTCTTAAATTATAGTGAATAAAGATATAATTATAGTGAATAAAGATTTACAAAGCCTAGGAGATTATAAGTGATTTTAAACTAAGATGAGTTCTTTTTTATTCCCTTTGGTCCCAGGTAGAGGGATGATAAGAAATAGAAGATTAATAATAAAATGGAGTGATGGAAAAATATTCTTCCTCTTTATTAGCCTGGTATATGAAGAAATCATTTGCAAGCTATCAGAGCTAAACTGCTCTGCCAGTAAAGTGGGAATAATTCCTTTTTTTGTTTTGTTAGTACCAGAGTTTGAACTCAGGGTCTTGTGCTTGCTCAGCTTTCTTGTTTAGTTAGCACTCTACCACTTGAGACATGCCTCTAGCCCAGCCTTTTGCTGGTAATTAGAAATGCAGTCTCTCAGAGTTTTCTGTCCAGGCTGGTTTCAAACTTTAATCTTCCAAATTGCAACCTCCTCAGGAGCTAGGATAATAGGCATGAGCCACCCATGCCCAGCTAAAATTCTTCAGTCTTTACAACACAGTACACCACTTAATAGCCAATTACAACAGAAGACAAACAGCAGTGTTTAGCACCACAAGAAAACAATACCTACCGATTTAGAATTCCTAGGCTCCAGCACCAGCGACAGTTTGTAAATATCATCTTCTGTGTGATAGAGGTCCAGAGAGAGCTGCAACAGAATTAGAGGGGGTAAACAATTCTGTGGGATTATGTTTCTTTATTGACATTGCTGGGAGAGATTTTAAATTGAACATCTCAAGTCCAATGGCCAATAATCTAATGAATGAAGAACAATTTAAAAAACCAACATGCAGAAGTTAAAAAAATGAAAAGACAAAGTTAATCCTGATGTGCTTGTCATCATGAATAAAGATTTGTACATATCCAGAACAGAAGCTGGACAGATATGTAGAATGAGACCTGGAAATGTAATGAATACTACTTTAGAGATTTGATTCAAGAACTGTAGAAATAAAGGAGAAATGAACTCAGTTCCTGTTTTGGACCATTGTGAAATGTCCTGATGATAAAAAATGATATAATGTTCCCCACCCCCTGACAAATATTTGAATAAACAGGACCTGGACAAAAATGACATGTCCATATCAATGCAGGCTTAGAGTAACAAAAAAATCAACACAGGGATTGTTCAGAGAAGCAGCTGGGACATGTACAAGAGCAGAAGACTTTATCCATACATATGCACACACACATCTGTATAGGTATGTATGCGTAAGGTATTTTGCCTATACTTTGTCACCTAAAGTTTCTTTTTGCCATACATTGTTCCAGCATCTTTTCAGATCTTGAAAATTTTGCTCCCAAAGAATAGACATTGTCTCCACCTTTCCCTAAACACCAAGCTCAGGAGCTCTGGCTTCTTAAAGGAATCACCAAAATGTAACAAACAAAGGTTTTTAGGAACCATCTTATCATGTATAACTGACATAGATGATCAAAAGGGTTATTTCAATGGAGACATTGGTGCCACGAAGACTGATATGGAAAACAATAACAAAAAAATCTTTGCAGGGGCTGGGAAGGTGGCTCAGTGGTAGTGTGCTCGCCTTGCATGCACAAGGCCCTGGGTTCGATTCCTCAGTACCACATAAGCAGAAAAAGCTGGAAGTGGTGCTGTGGCTCAAGTGGTAGAGCACTAGCCTTGATCTGAAGAGCTAAGGGACAGCGCCCAGGCCCAGAGTTCATGACCAACAACAACAACAACTGACTTAGGGATCTTTCCTCTGGTGCTGGGATGTAACACCAGCTCCCTGTTGGGGAAGCAGTAGGGAGGGGTGTGGCCTGGGAGGGGAGGAAGGGCAGCAGCCTTCAGACTCAGATGGCAATACTAGCAATCAGCAATAAGCAATTTTGATAATTCTGCATGGACCAAATGTATCTCATCTGCCATGGCAGATGCCAACTTTGGGCTCATGAAAGTGGACAGCACTGAGGTCTGGACCCTCGGTCCCAGTGGGCAGCCTTGTATTGTGAAGCTCTAAAAACAGAGAAAACAGAATGCTGTCTTTGTTTTGCATCCTGATGTTGGTAAGCATGTTCTTTTCCTCCAGACTCACCCCTCCCAGCCCCTAGTCCTTTGATGACCGACTTCCACCTCTGCCAGTGACAAGATATCCAACCCTAAAGGAACACACAAGCCATCCACCAAGTTGGAGAGACACATGCAGAAGACGCAGAACCTCCTTGTGTATTTTCCGATGTCGTAAGGACGGATATCGGATCTAGTAGTAGACAGGTTTTGCTTTTGCTTTCTACTTAGTGGCTCGATCCTAGGCCATCAACCAATCTTGAGTTTCAGTCTCCTGATCTTCAAAAATGAGAATCACGAAGGATAAGTTCTGTCCCAGGACTGTGGTGAATATGTGTCCCACTGGCTTTGCTTCAAAAGTCATATAGGAAGTTGGGTGCCTATGGCTCATACTTTTGATCCTAGCTACTCAGAATGCTGAGATATAAGGATTGCAGTCCAAAGTCAGTCTGGACAGACAAATTCAAGGGAATAAAAAAAAAAAAAAAACAATTAACCAGCAAAAAAGCCAGGAGTGGAAGTATAGCTCAAGTCACAGAGTGTCAGCCCTGAGTTCAGACCCAAGTACTGGCATAAATGCATAAATAAACAAATAAAATCATGGGTGTGGACTTGGCTTTCAGCCAATACAGCACAGCCACTTGCTTATCTATGGATAGAAATCCACCCTCCAGTCACTGCTACACGCTCTGCACTCCCAGCTACAATCCACGGCCCCTCTCACATATCTGGCTTTAAAAACCTGCCCAAAGAGTGACCGACTTCCTATACACCTTTAAAATAATGAGAAGCTGGTCAGTGGGCACTTTTAAGAATATTTGCTTTTGTCTCACATATTTCGAGGCTGGGTGTTTCTGACTAATGTTCTTCTCCATTGTCTCAGGCTATTGCAATTGTTAGCCAATCCTGCCAGCAAGGATGGTAGTAGTTAGTCTTCATCTACACTGGTGAGGTTTGTTGTAAAATAAAACACACTTGGTCATCAGACTCTCTCAACTCCTTTGTCGTCATCATCTTCTTCTCCTCCTCCTCCTCCACCTCCTCCTCCTTCTCCTCCTTCTTCATTTGTGAAATGAGACTGAGAATACGGGGCTTTCCAGTAATTTGCATATACTCAAAATGGTAAAAGTAACTGATGGAGCTAAAAATACTAGGAGGAGAATTAGGTTGGTTCTCATATTATGGAACCGAATCATCAGCTTCCAAAACTATCAGGTATGTGAAGTGGAATCCTGAAGACAAATGTCTTCTCCAGGTCTTCCCCCCAAAGGAGGAACTCTCTAGACCCTCACAGCTTGGTGTCCTGCTCCTCCTCCTGCACATGCCCCGTGCTCTTCCAGGGGCCAAGGACACAATGATAAAAGTGACTGAGTTCCTGGCCCTCGTAAACTGTGCTTTCCACGCACCTCCTTCACTACACGTACACAAAGGACGTGGGGAGGGGGGTAATTATTTAATTTTTCACTGATACAAGTGGTAGAACACATGCCTGACAAGAGGGAGGCCCTGACTTCAATGCTCAGTATTAGAAAATGAAGTAAATTAGATGTTAGCAGCATGCTCACACTAGAGGTGTGAATGTGCCTCTGAGCTAAAGCATCGGCTACAGTTTAAACCTTAAACATTCCCCAAAGACCATGTGTTAGAGTCTCCAGTTTGGTCCTATTGAGAAGTGGCAGAAGCATAAAGAGGTTAGGCCTATTTAGACTCCCAGAGGTAGGTCCGGCATGCCTTCCAAGGCAATTGTCAGGTACCAGACCCTTCTCTGCTCTCTCTCTCTGTTTGCTTGCTTGTTGCTTGCTTGCTTCCTTCCTTCCTTTCTCCCTCCCTTCCTGGCAATAGTTCTACTCTACCATACACCACAATGTGCTGCTTTGCCACAGAGTCAGGGTAATGGGGCCAATCATCCATAGGCGGAAGCCCCTACAACCATGAGCCAAAATAAGCCTTTTCTCTTTATAAATTGGTTTATAGCAGTTATTTGGCATAGTAATGGAAAACAGACTAAGATACTATCCAAGGGAGTGGGGAAAAGAAAAAAAACATGCTAGGAAACAGAAGTTTCCTGTTTCCATGCCTCCTGTCCTTTCCAAATCTCAATTTCTTCATTTAGAAGAATGGAAGGGGCAGTGTTGGTGTTACACTGACTGCCTCGCCCAGGCTGTATCTCGGAGCATTTGTGAGCATTTGCCAAGAACATATATGTGAAGGGGTTGTGTAATCCAGTTACCATCAAACATTCAACATGGCTAGACAGCTTATTGCACAGGAGTAGGCATTTTGGAAGTTGTCAGTTTACTGGAAGAATTATTTTCTCTCTCCTCCAAAGCTCTCCACAATAATGTGTCATTCAGATGATCTTAGCTGGGGCCATGTTGAGACAAAAGCAACCACTTTGAGTAAACACTTGACTGAGTGTTGGACAAAAATGAGTCACCCCTACAACACTATGCTCAGAAACGTGCTCACCTGCCTACGGACAGCTCCATCGTATGGTTCTCATCTGAACGTGTACGTGCTTTGTAAATGGTCACTAGGTTCTGGGAAATATATAGTGCTAGTCTCAGCATTCATACTGGAGAGATTAATTCCCCAAAAGTCAGGAAGAATGAATGTATATTCCTATGTGTTGAACTTTCACCTTGGTTTGGAGGAGAGAAAAAGGATCCTAGGTTTAGGTACAAACTGGCTTGACATTCTATGATTCATTAACAGGGTGGTGCTATCCTGAGAAGTCATGAGGCCAGGACTAGAGAAATGATTTATTACCATGCCTCAACTATTCCATCAATCTAAAGTTATGCTGTTTAAAGTTGGAAAGATACCTCACAAGTGAGCAAAAATCACGTATTTAAAAAAAGAAAAAAAGGACTAATGCTAAGAATGTGTAGAGACAGAGCTAAAAGTAAGCTCTCCTGTATGGCGTTTTACCATTATACTAAGCAACACACCATTGCATTTGAGAATTATGGTGTTTGGGAGTTTTAAATGTTCTCTTCAATACCTCAAAGAGATGATAAAGAGGCCCTGACATCCTTTTCTTTTTTAATGTTACTTTCCCCAGCCAAAACACATTATTTTGGGGATTGAAAATTTTTATTGATACTACCAAAATGTCATTCAAAACTTCTCCAAATGTGTGTTTGCTTCCCATATGATGTTTGGTGCATTTAGGTTTTGTTTTGTTTGCCTTGTTGGGGACTAAACCCAGGGCTTTGTACATGCTTAGTAAACATTGCCACTACTGAGAGTCTCTGCTAGATGCATTTGTAACTCAAAATTAATTTCCTTATTCCATTACTCTTTTTCATTTGGTTGAGACCTTGCCCAAGGATAGGCACCTGTTTTGTGAAGTTTTGCTCAACATCAGTGATCCAGGCCTGGATACAGAGACTTGAAACTGAGGCCCCGATCTGGGTCTACTCTTCAGACATCACCTGTGCCTGTGGGTTTGTTGTCTGGTCGGGGGTTGCAACACTGGTCACTTATTCATGGAAACAGATTTACATGGCAAATGATTAATAAATGCAGGTGGTTGAATTATTACAAGTTGGTTTTCTCCCCTGCTAGACAATGTCTGAGTGTTTACTATTCCTCACCCAAACTTATTCCCAAGAGATAGGTACATTGACCACTTCTGCTTTGTACTAAGAGTGAAGGTAGCCTTATCAGCTACACTCAAGGGTCTGTTGGACTGTGTGCTCTAGGAACAGTTTGCGAGATGTCTGTTCTCACCCAATTCCCATGCTGCTGTTTAAGAGGAGATTTAGGCAGTCTGGGTCACAAAAGAGTTATCAATTTCATTTTATACAATCTTACAAAATCCATTTATACAGTCCTTTATGGCCCTGCATTGCAGCCTTGTTTATGATGTTATAGTGTTAGAAACCCAAACGGGGAAGTTATGTTTCTGTATGTTAAGGCAAGGGTAAGTGAACTTTATTATGCTTTCTCCTCTTCCCAAAGAAAAGCCAATGGAAACTGTTCTTGTCTATATTCTTGTGAGGTGGAAAAGTTCTAGAACCTGAATATCTGATAAACTAGTATGTCATAAATGTCAAAAAGGGGGAGGGGCATGGTATGGAAGTACCACAATGAAACTTTTCTGTACAAATAATATATGCTAATGCATTTTTTAAAACATGAGTGGTAGATAAATACTTTCGGTGAACTCTCATCGCTCCTTAACTTAGCATTCATTTCATCCTCCAAGTTCTTAAAGGGGCCAGGTATGGAAAGTGCTGGGGGACATAGAAGACACATAAACAGAATGGAAATCAGATTCTAAGTGACACCTCCTGGACTTGAAGGAAGTGTGACGAGCAAAGGAAATACAGAGAACAGATGTGCTGCTGCTTTTGGAAGGGAACAGAGGATGCCAGAGATTGCTCCAGACAAATGAAGACTTTGGAATTTGAAGTCGCCATGTGGATAGACAGAGACAAGATTACCCAAAGACTTGCTAAAGCCAGGAAGCAGCAAGCGGAAAGAACAGGTCCTATATTCCTCAGTGGCTATGATGTGGGAGAGGAGGAAGAGAAACACTGCGGTGCTGAAGTGCAGAGATGGGGTCTTGAAGGGTCTCAAAGGCCAGCCTAGGAACAACACCCTGTTGGTTTGGTGTGTGGCAGTGACAGGAGATCACAGTGGGGGGTCTCGCATCAGTCCAGCTTTCACTAAAGCAGTCAGGAGGATAGAGAGAAGCAGAGCATTTAAGGCCATGTGGCCGTTCATGACAAGGAAGTGGAAGTGTAGCTCAACCTTGAGCAAAAAAAAAAAAAAATCCAAGTGAGAATAAGAGGCCCTGAGTTCAAGCCCCGGTACTGGCACACACATTAAATAAAAGAAACTGGCATCAGCTGGGCAGGTAAGTGTGCAGAGAGAATGGGAGAGTGATGGATTGAAAAAGGGGGCTCCTTAGGGGCTGGGAAGGTGGCTCAGTGGTAGAGCACTTGCCTTGCATGCCTGAGGTCCTGGGTTCGATTCCTCAGACCACATAAGCAAAAAGAAAAAAAAAGCCGGAAGTGGCGCTGTGGCTCAAGTGGTAGAGTGCTAGCCTTGAGCTGAGGGACAGCGCCCAGGTCCAGAGTTCAGGCCCCACGACCAGACCCAAAAGGGGGCTCCTTAAGAAATCTAGAGGGAGTGGCCCTGTGGCTCAAGTGGTAGAATGCTAGCCTTGAGCTGAAAAGCTGAGGGACAGCGTCCAGGCCCAGAGTTCAAGCCCCATGACCAACAAAAATAAATAAATACATACATATATAAATAAATAACTGGTGCTAATTCCAAGCCAGGGACTTAGCTGGGTACTGGTGGCTCACGCCTCTAATCTTAGCTACTCAGGAGGCTGAGATCTGAAGATCACAGGTTCAAGCCAGCCTGGGCATGAAAGTCCGTGAGACTCTTATCTCCAAAACCAGAAGTGGCACTGTGGTTCAAGTGGTAGAGCGTTAGCCTTGAGCTGAAGAGCTGAGGGACAGCACCCAGGCCCAGAGTTCAAGACCCATGACTGACAAAAAAGAAAAACAAAAAAGAAAAAAGAAATCCAGAAAGGAGAGCTATATGGGTCAAGACTTGGCACCTCCAAACAAATGGAAATTTGTTTGCCAAGGTGATAATAGTCTCAAGTCATGTTGGTTATGGATGTGAGTTCTCTTTTTCCTCATTCTTTGAGAATTTTTTCCCATTGACGGACCACCCCCCCCCCTTTCTCCCCCAAAATCAATCATCCCCAAGGTGAATGGCTGGCACAGGTCTTCCTGTATGTCCTAGAAAGTGAGATGCATGAGGGTCATTTAGCCCCATGCTTCCTCTTCCTCCCGCTCCTTCCCCCCAACTCACAGTAAGTAGGTTGATCAAATCCATGTTAGGTTCTAAGTGGTGAGAGGCATTCTGCAATGAGACCAGTTCACTTAGGGTCACGGAAAGCTGGTGCATTTTCACAATGTTTACTTTGTTTTCTTCCATCCAGTCTGGGAAAATGACATGGACTGCTATCAAGTCTTTCAAGTGGACTCCAAGGATAGGGATTTTGAAGCCATCACAGTCAGCAAAGGCCTTGCGGTAATTGCAGTAATTGCCATTGGAGGAGACCAACTCGGTCATTTCATTCCAGTTCTGGGAACAGATGGAAAAGTAGACATTTCCAATAACCTTCTCTTCTGCCCACTTCCCGCTTCGCCTGCCATCCCACCAGCCCTGCAACGTGTGGCTAGCAAATTCCTCAGCTACTGTGAGAAGTATCAATTGCACCAATGTTGATGCAGGAAAATATTAACCAGGAAAAAGAAAATTAGAAATATGTATTAGGTCTGCCTAATGAATTGGATAGCCTGTTTTATCTTGCTACAAAACAGAACTAACCACCACCTCTGTCTACTCAGTAGGGATGCTGGGATATTAAAGAGTATCATGTGTACTTAGTAACTGCAATTCAGGAGACTATCACAATCCACAGAGTTAAGCATGGAACATGTTACAATTTCCTAGTTATTCCAAGAACATTGCATTTCAGATATTACTTGAAGGTTGGCATAGGACACTATTGGGCAGGAAAAGTCACACTAAGATTTGAGATAGCTGTAGTTCTGACTCTGTACTAACTATAAGGCTGAACTTGAACAAATCAATCACACTTGATATGGTGGGGAGAGCGTAGTTTCTTTTCTATCAGAAAGAGGAATTCAAGGAGATCATTTTGAAAGACAAACTAGTAATTCCAATCTTTTGTGAGCCTCTGTCAGAGTCTTAGTCTTTACAACATTTAAACTCTCTTTTTTGCTTTTTTATTTGAAATTTAGTACAAAGCTAAAAGAAAGCAGAACACATAATGAGTCATATTATACTTGGAATGAGTACAGAGTTTGAGGTTCAACAGTAGTACTTCTGTGCCTAACATCCTCTTGTTTATATGCATAAGCCCTAGTTGGTTTTTTAACAGCAACCAGGCCATCCTAATAGATCCCAGTGGAGGTGGAGATGGAGCTGGTTGTTTCTATAAGACCAGTAATTCCATCCCTTTGGTTTATGATTGGTTCAGGAACAAAGGACTAAGCCATTTATATGCCATCTTTCTCTAGCAACTGCTATTGGTCCAGGATGGATGTGTCTAAAAACAAGGTCTGTAATTGCCTGGGAGCAGTCTGTCTTACAGAGTAAACACTAAGTAAATACTTGTTAGTAGTTCCAACTAAAATACCTTCATTTTATGTAAAAAAATATGCTTCTTTTCTAGCTAGATTCAGCTGATGTGGCTTTTCTTTTTTCTTTTGTGGTTGGTTGTGGGGCTTGAACTCAGAGCCTGGGTACTGTCCTTGAGTACATAAGCTCAAGGCTGGCGGTTAATTGGAGATAAGAGTTGCATGGCTTTCCTGCCCAAGCTGGCTTCAAAATGAAATTTTCAGATCTCACCCTCCTGAGTAGCTAGAATCCAATACCTATAGGTATGAACCACTGTGGCCAGATTGAGGTGGCTATTCTTATTTGTGTAACCTACCATTGTTTAAGAGGAAAATAGTCCCTCTCCAGGAATGTTGGGTAGGAGCACACTTTAAGCGATTTACAAATATTTACTTAGAATTAGGACCAAAATTCACAGTACCTTCGTAACCTCTGAGGAAAGATGAGAATGGGTCTCTTTGAGGCGTGAAATGGAGCTGTGACTGAGGCCTCCCACCACGGCCATCAGTGTATTAAAATTCTTGAGCTGAAGGAGTTTCTACAATAAAAATATTAACACCAACACATTGTAAGGATCTCTTAATTGCTCTGAATGTTTCGAACTACAAACGAATGCAGGCATAACTTTGTAAATGAAAACTTAAAAAAACATCATTGATGTGTCTTAAACTGAAAGCACAAATAGAATCCTTTAGAAAAATAACTATGTTAAACACTCTGGGTATTTATTTTAAAAAGCAATCTTGTTATTCAAGAGAAGTATGATTTTTTGTTATTATTTATTGTAGTTTGATTTTTTGTTTTGTATATTTATATGCTTATTTGTTTTTGACTGTCCTAGGTCTGAACTTAGGGCTGTGTACTTGCTCAAGCACTCTGCCATTTGGACTACATCTCCAGCCCAAGAAGTATGATTTGTCCATTAGATATCTATGAATAGTTTAACCAGATTTCCTCAATATTTTTCCAATGAAGTGAATGATTATTCAGAATCCCAAGATCCCCATCTGTTTCTAAGACATACCTTTGCAACATTGATAAACTTTATGATGACCTCTGCCCTTTGCTGGGGTGTTGGTTTGCTAAGAACCATCAACTGGACCCACTTAGAGATTCCATTAAATAAACCAATAGATCTCTCCAGGGTTGGGTTGTTCTCCAGGCAGCCATGGATGACATAGCTTTGATAATCAGTAAACTGGTAAAGGAAAATTCACAGATCCTGAGTTATAATTGGGCTTTTGCAAAATTTGAAATTTTACATTTTCATAGAAGATGTGAGACATTCTTTCCCTTTTCCTCCCTCCCTCCCTCCCTCCCTCCCTCCCCCCTCCTTCCCTCCCTCCCTCCCTCCCTCCTTCCCTCCCTCCCTCCCTTCCTTCCTTCCTTCCTTCCCTCCATTTTTATCTCCTCTCTTTCTTTCTCCCTCCTCTCTCCCTACCCTCCCCTCTCTCCCTCTGGTCTAGCAATGTAGCTCAGGCTTGCTTCAAACTGCAATCATCTTTCCTCCATCTCCCAAGTGCTGTGATTTACATGTGTGTACCAACTATGGGCAGCCCATGAGCTTTCTTTCATAGCAACATCATGATTTCTTTTAATTCATATGCATGATGACACCCATGTATTTGATACATATTCACCATTAACAGGTTATTTTACTGTATCTCAATCTTGAGTTCAAGACCCAGCCCTGGCAGAGAGAGGGAAAGGGGGAGAAAGAAGGAGAGGAAGAGAGAGATGGGGAGGGGAGATAAAATATCAGCTGAGGAAGGACGATTTGTTGGCAGAACAGATTCTCAGAAAGTTAGTGTGAATGTCAGGAAATATACCTAAGCCTTTTATCATGTACACAGTACAGGGGAACACACACACACACACACACACACACACACACACACACACACACACACACACACACACACACACACACACACACACACACACACACACACCCCACCAGCCCGGGTCTGCTTGGAAGAAATGGTCAGGATCCTGTGCAAGTAGGACTACTTAGTGAAAGAATCAACCTTTTAGAATTTCAGGCTTCTCATCAACAGGGCCTTCTTTGCCACCAATAAAGCAATTCATTTCAAGAAATACCTTCCCTAGAGCTGGATGAAGCAAAGCAAAACAGCTGGCTGACTGTGAACCAAGGTGAAAATATCATCATAACATACTTGGTATAGAGGGAGAAGGCAACAAAGTTGGGAACACAATCCAGGAAGAAAGGAGGAAGAAAAAGGGGGTGTAGAAAAGGAATGAAGCAATAGGAAGATGAAGAGGGAAGAAAGGTCTTAGATCTCTCTCCTTGCATGATGAGATCCTCCTCAAAACCTACAATTCCTAATTTTGTACTTGTGCTCCTAATTAGGCATTTATGCAAAATCCAACATAAGCACATTTTTCTTCCCTCCAAAATGAACTCACCCAACTAGACACATTCACTGGGGAGAAAAGTCAACGAGCTAAATAAACCTTGAATGGTTAAATCTCCATTGAGTATTTAGAAAAAAATCATGCTTTAATTCTATGAAAGGACACATTGAAAACAGCGACAGAAATATAGCTCCTGAGCCATAAAATAAAGGCAGGCTAATATTTATCTTTGGTTAAAAGGGATTGTTCCTGTGAATTAAGGGCACTTTTCTAGCAAAGCATAGTGACAGAGCCTGCCAACACTTCGGAGTATGAAAATGCAGCTCTTGGGAAAGTTGGCATGATGGTTGTTGTCCTTGGAAGAATAAATGTCAAGTTCCTTACTGCGATCCTTCTAAAAGATTTATGCTCCAGAAAAGTGAGGTGTTCAGCCAACTCAATGGGCTCCAGATGGTCAAACAGCAGACAGGCCTTTCCCTTTTTGGATACTTTTTTCCTCTGTGTAACTCTTCTCATCCAGTCATAGGAAGGACTGTAAAAGCAGAGGGAGGTTGGTCAGCGTGCTGAAAATCCGTTTCACTCGATGGAAGTTATTAACCTACTGACTCTGTAACTCTTGGTCCGCTGCCAGGGGCTTGTGCACAAAATACATGCCCTTGTCCTTCATATTTGAAGAGAAAAACCACTGACCCCCATTGCCAACAGAACATAAACTTGGAGTTGTTTTTCCAGACGGGGTAGGCTTGCACTGATCCACCCAAAATCTCTGACTTGGTTTTCCTGGTGACCAAACAAGATCTGGATGATAAAGGAGAGGTCATAGAAATGTGGGAGTTGATCAGCAGATGGTGACTTAAGGCATATTGGAAACTACTAGAAGTTATGGTTCTCAGATTTCAGCATAATAGGAATTACCTGAGAAACTTGTTACAGAAGCAAAGGTTTGGACCTACCTTGCCAGAGATTCTAATTCACTGAGAAAGAACCTGAATAGTGTATACTGTAAACAGTTATCAAATCACACATTGTTGATCATTTCTTTTGGCAGGGGGAGGAGAGGGGGAGGGAAAAGGGAGCTGTGCTGGGGATTTCACTTCTAGTGTCATCACTCAAAGAAATATTTGAAATAAAGGGAATATAATCTGAATGCCTAAGGCAAAAGAACATACATTTTACAAGATTGATAAGCATACTTGATCATCCAGTTGCTTTCTCAACCCAAAGTTACATAGCAAATTTGAAAAAAAAAGTCTAATCAGTGACAGGAAACCAGTTCCCAATAACTGACCTACCAAGTTCACGTTACAACTCCAGGCATATTTGTTAGTCTCAAGCCAGCCTCAAAAGCTCCAGGGTACTGTGCTTCTCTAATTTGAATGAACATAAGAACCACCTGGGCATCTCATTAAAGTATAGACTACCATTCAGCAGGTTAAGGGTGGAGCCAAGGATTCTGCATTTTTAATGAGCCAATTCTGGTATGGAGTCTCCACAGCACGGAGATCATAACTAGATTCAGATTCACTAACTAAGCACTGAGCATCTATTATCTGCCAAGTGCTTTCACATGCTATACTTTGGGGATGCTTATAATAATCCCATAAGAAAGGCATTATCCCATTTGACAAATAAACTGCCACGTGGAGAGATAAGTATATTCAGAACAGCTATGTTCACTGCAGCCAGGCTGTCCTCTAATTCTGGAATAACATGAGCTTAAGCCAAGTGAGGGTCACCACCACAACCCCTCAAAAGCTGTGGACTCATCAAGTGTGAAAGAGTCGCCCCTCTTACATGCTGGATATGTCGATGAGGCTGACGTGTTTTTCATAGCCTAGTTGACTAGCCACTTCCCGGAACTCCTCAGTCATACGAATCAAACCCAGATCCAAGTTAAACTCCGCAGGAAACGTCAGAATCCAGTACCTGCAAGGTATAAAAGTGCTTTTGAACAGCTGAAAGATTTCAAGCTGGACCTCTATAGAAACTGCCATACCATGTTATGGACAACAATGAACACTGAATCCAGGACTGACTGTACTTCCAAGTAGCCATGGCCAGATATTCCAGATTCTAGTCTCTCTCTGCCCTCCTTCAGTCCAGAGCCAGGTTCCATCATTTCAACTTTGAGAATCATCTTGATGCTGTGTAGGACAGGCAGCTGAGAGGAATTGCTTTCCAGTTCATGACAAGTAATGAGTGTGTGGACAGGGAGTGGAAAAAATTACATTCACCCTCTTCAAGAGGTGTTTTTGTTCCCTGATTACATTCATCTCTAGTCCAGAAGGTAAATTCTAACCCATCCCTAACCCCTAGTAATCAAGGAGGACTAATTTTAACAAAGTTGGTCAAAGAAGGCATCCCTGCTGCTTGGAGAAGAGCAAATTGCCAACAATTCCAGAATGAGTGACTATAGTTAATGCTACAAGTCCATGAAAATCTGTAAGTCTATTGAAATCTGTATATCCATTTACCTCATGAAGTAGCAGATCTTTAATCGAAACTCATCACAGCTTTCTCCACTGGCATTTCGATACGTGCACAAGTTAAGGAAAAGTTCTGCACACTGCTCTTTGCCCATCCCTGCATCTTTTCCATACACACATTGCTAACACAGGGGACATACTTGACATATGGGTTACAGGTGGAGAACCTCTAATTCAAACGTTTGAAATTCAAAATGTTTCGGCCTCTGAAACTTTAGGGCCACCAATAATGTCCCCATGCCCAACAATGACTCTCCTCACTCTACATGATGGGCAACAGTCAAAACACATCCTGGGAATGTGGCTTAGTGATAGAGTGCTCGCCTAGCATTCGTGAAGCCCTGGGTTCAATTCCTCAGTACCACAAACACAGAAAAAGCCAGAAGTGGTGCTGTGGTTCAAGTGGTAGAGTGCTAGCCTTGAGCAAAAGAAGCTCAGGGACAGTGCCCAGGCCCTGAGTTCAACCTCCATGACTGGAAAAAAAAGAAAAAAAGAAAAGAAGATCTCAGGCAACATACATAAAATGCATTTGAAGTACAAATGAATTTCACTTTAAGAATTGAGTCCAATCTCATTATGCATATGCAATGGTCTAAAATTACAAAAAAAATCCATGCTGTGATGCATACTGATCTGAAACATTTTGGAGAAGTGATCATGTGTACATAGACCCTCACATGGGGAAAGAAATGAGCTCTGACCATGAAGTAATTAAAACTTGAACTGTTAGTGCTCTTATATGTATTTTGGTGGGGGCTGGTGTCTGGAAGATAAGCTACTTAAAGAGTTGGTTTTACCTTCTTAAACACTAACCCATAGCTGCCAACTATAATTAAAAAGTACATTGCCAATTGTATCTACTGAAAATGGATAGTAAGGGGCTGGGAAGGTGGCTCAGTGGTACAGTGCTTGCCTTTCATGCATGAGGCCCTGGGTTCGATTCCTCAGCACCACATAAGCAAAAAGAAAAAAGCCGGAAGTGGCGCTGTGGCTCAAGTGGTAGAGCACTAGCCTTGAGCTGAAGAGCTGAGAGACAGCGCCCAGGCCCAGACTTGGCCCCATGACCAGACCCAAAAAAAAAAAAATGAAAATGGGTAGTATGTAGAAGCACCATTTTTACAAATAAAAAAGTTTTTTTTTTTGTATTTAGGACTAGTACCTTACCTATGTAACCTAATTTGTTTTATATATGAGAATGTCATTTTCAGGTACATAAATATAAAAGTTGTGGTTTATTCTTAAGACTACTTATTATCTTAAAAAATATATATAATTGTATTGTTATTATTAAGGTGTAATACAGAGGGGTTACCATTTCAGGTAACCCATACATCTCTCATTTAGACAACATTACTCCTTCCTTCATTTTCCCCCTGCCCACAAGTTGTATATTGATTATCTTTTTAATAATTATTTATTGAACCCCTACAAAATGCTAGCACAATGGATATGAAGTGTACGTTTTCTTCTAAAGAGAGGAAAATTTAAAGAATGTAAAGAATGTTGACTCAGGGGCTCTCTCCAAGTTTTATACAACTCCAACATTCCCATATGAAGATTTTAATATGCTCTATTAACAGTGGACATAGTAAGAGTAAGAATTCTTGGGGTAAGAGCCAGGTGTTGGTGGCTCACGCCTGTAATCCTAGCTACTCAGGAGGCTGAGATCTGAGGATCAAGGTTCAAAGCCAGCCTGGGCAGGAAACTCTGTGAGACTCTTATCTCCAATAAACCACCAGAAAACCGGAAGTGGTACTGTAGCTCAAGTGGTAGGGCCCTAGCCTTGAGCTGAAGAGCTGAGGGACAGCGCCCAGGCTCAGAGTTCAAGCCCCACGACCGACAAAAAAAAAAAAATCTTGGGGTTAGGTTTGGAACATGAGGAGTGATAGGGCCACGTGGATCAATTCCTTCCATTTTCCCTACTCTCTACTTTGAACAGCAAGTGCTACTGGAGATATGCTCACTTCGAGGACCTGGGTTCAAGGCCATTATTCCTGAACATCTGCTCTGGCTCTGATGTTCTAGGGAGGATAGGAAGGAAGACATAGAAAGTGGAGAGTGGAGAAACCTGAACCAAAGCAGGCGGATCTCCACTTAGCCCAGGAAGCCTAGACAAGCCCTAAAAACTGTCAATGAACCTTCTCCTTCCCCCTGTCTTTTTTTTTTTTGTCGGTCGTGGGGCTTGAACTCTGGGCCTGGGCGCTGTCCCTCAGCTCTTCAGCTCAAGGCGAGCGCTCTACCACTTGAGCTACAGCGCCACTTCCGGTTTTCTGGTGGTTTATTGGAGATAGGAGTCTCATGGTCTCTCCTGCCCGGGCTGGCTTTGAACCGCGATCCTCAGATCTCAGCCTCCTGAGTAGCTAGGATTACAGGCGTGAGCCACCAGCGCCCGACTCTTCCCCCTGTCTTGTAGGGATTTTTACTCATCTACACAGCCCTTGGACTTGAAGAAGGAAGAGACCACTGGAAGTAAGTATCAGAGACTGCACAATAAATATTAAATCTCAAGGGAAAAGATGAGACTGCATGCATTGGCAACCATTAGACGTTCAATCACTTTTCCCTTTTCCTTTTTTCCCTTCGTCTTTTCTCTTATTTCACTTATATTTTATTCTCAAACTAAGAATGGAGCCCAGAGAGTTGTCTGTGCCAGGCAAGTGTTCTAACACTGAGCTACATCCCCACTCCATGTGGATATTTTTCTTCTCATATCAGAAGAAATTCTAAAATCAGCATCAATCAACAAAGTACAATACAACTAGCAGGGTGTTTATGGAGTCTTGCCAGCAAGGGAAGATCAAAACTTGTGTTTGTGTCTGAGCTAGTGCATATTATTTTAGCCAGCATCTCCATCTACATAGGCAGGGTCCTCTGTGCCCACAGTTTGGTCATTATGGAAAGAGTAAGTTAGGTCTTAGATCAGTGTCCAATATTCTTCCCTTGAACTAACAATTGACATGTTTAAGACAAGTTACCAAACACTCAACATGCAGCTCCTGTTTTGTTTCACATTATCCTGATTATATTCAAGTACAGCCAAAACATTCAGCGGGTAATCAGCTATTTGGGCCATCATCCAGAAGTTTCATCTAGACATCTATATATTCTCAAAAGAGTTGGATAACTGACTAAAGACTTTATTCATCTTAACTCACTGGCTTTGGATAGGCTCTCTAAAATACAGAGCTTGATTTATGACAATAAAAATTACATAGTAGTTGAAAAGATATATGCAGAGAAGTTTTCCTGCCAATTCGGTGGAAGATAAATACCATCGGTGCATCAGTAGAACTATTCTTGGCAAATAGCTATTATTCAGCTCTCCATTGTCATCTGTGAAAAATAAAGTGAGAATTAAAAGACAACAGTGCTAATATCACTAGAAAAAAATGCCAGCTTTTTCCCTTAAAATTGTCTTAAAATCATACAAAGGGGTTTGAAGTCAATGTGTCTAGTTATGAGCACAATTATCCTGATCAATGTCACCCCTTTCTTCCTTCTCCTTCATGTCTCTCTCAACCCCATTCCAAAAATATTTTCATAAACTAAATTAGCTTTAAACTCCTACTTCTGTGGGTTCCCTTTACTCGATAAGGTGGGTTGGGCTGTTTGTAGCTGTTACGTTCATCAAATAACAGTAGGGGATACCCAGGAAAATTTGAATATGATGTTAAAGAATGAGTGCTTTTGTCAGTGTAAGTCTGGCCTGAGTATTTAGGGCACATATTTTAAAATGTTTATATATAATTAAAACTTAATTGATCACTCTATAATTGGTCTGCAATATTGTGCTGGCTTACATCAGATTTTATTTCTTTGTTTCTTTCTTTCTTTATTTATTTATTGGTGGTCCTAGGGCTTGAACTCTGGGTCTGGGTGTTGTCCCTGAGCTTCTTTGGCTCAAAGTTAGCACTCTACCACTTAAGCCACAGCACCACTTCTGGCTTTTTGTGAGTAGTTTATTGGAGATAAGAATCTCATAAAGAGGGCTGGGAAGGTGGCTCAGTGGTAGAGCGCTTGCCTTGCATGCATGAGACCCTGGGTTCGATTCCTCAGCACCACATAAGTAAGAAGAAAAAAGCTGGAAGTGGCATTGTGGCTCAAGGGGTAGAGCGCTAGCCTTGAGCTGAAGAGCCGAGGGACAGCACCCAGGCCCATAGTTCAGGCCCCATGACCGGACCCAAAAAAAAAAAAAAGAATCTCACAAAGAGTCTCACGGACTTTCTTGCCTGGGCTGGCTTCAAACTGTCATCCTCAGATCTCATCCTCTTAAGTGGTTAGGATTAAAGGTATAGCTATCAGCACCCAGCCTTAAGTCAAAGTATTTAAGGGATCAATTAAATGAATTATTCTTGTGTGATTCTATTTATGCAAGGAATATTTTAACAACGGGGTACACATAAGCAACATAAGAAGTACATAGTTGCAAAGAAATAATTCAGCAAGAGCTATAAGACATATACAGAAGGATTAAGTCTGAAGACATATAATTATCACACCAGAATATACAATGTGCCCATAAACAACCTGTAGTTGAATTGAGAAAAGCAATTGTATCAGTATGAAAGGGGAAAGGTTCATACCAAACATCTCAATGCAGGTGCTCAGCAGTTCATCTAATGTTGCTGCTTTCCCAAGGCCGCTGGACCCCATGGTTATTTCCTGTTGTCAAAAAACTGGAGACATTTTCAACATCAGAGAGATCATCTCCATAATCCCATGAATCAGTGACTTTTGTGCCAGTGACTTTTGTGCCAGTGACTTTTGTGCCTAGTGGTAACTTTTTGTTCTTAGTTGTGCTTCAAGAAAACACTGAATAAACAAAAAAAGTTATCAGACTAATGGAAATTGAAGCATTGTTTCTCACCTGGAAAAAAAAATGACTTCCACTTACTGTATCTTTCTATACAAAAAGAACAGAACCTAAGGGGCTGAGATTGTGTTAAGTCTCATGAGAGTAAAATGACAAACTGTCCCCAAGGGTGTGTGTGTTTTGAGACACACCCATTTCCTGTCTCATAGCTGAAATGGTTTTGAAAGAATATCTTACAATTGCTTCATTGTCTTCCCCTGTCCCCTTTTCAATACTAATTCTGGGGCTTGAACTCAAACCCTCTTGTTTAGACTTTCCCACTCAAGATTGGCGCTCTGCTACTTGATTTACACCTTTACTTCTGGCTTTCTGTTAGTGAATGGAAAGTAACAGTCTCTCAGATTTGTCTGCCCAGGCTAGCTTGCAAACTTATATCCTCAGTTCTCAGCTTCCTGAGTTACTAGGATTATAGGCTTGAACCACTGCTTCATAGTCTTAGTAATATGGCATTCAAGAATATTATAAATGTTATTTGGTTCAAGATTATTACATGGATGTATGAGGAGATGAATTTTTTAATACAGATATATTTATAAGCAGTATCCTCAGTGATTATTAAATGTTCAACAAATGTAAACAAAAATTGTATTTGCCTCAATTTGCTAAAAGTAACAGTAGTAGTAGTAAAATTATCAATAAGTTATTGAACAACCACATAAAACACTATGGGCAATGTTTTCTATATATATATAACCCAACTTGACCTTCACAATAATGCTATCATGGAATTCTTATTCCCCTTTCACCTGAACTGGTAGGATTCACAGAGATTTAGCACTATATTTTTAAAAAATCATATATATATATAATTAAAAAAATCATATTACTCAATGGACATTATGTTGAAATGCCTACACAACTTCTAGGCAGGGATGGAAGGGAAAAACTGGAAGAGAGTGAAGGAAGGGGTGACATTGTTTAAAAAGAAGTGTAGCCGGGCACAGGTGGCTCTGTCCTGTAAGCCTCGCTACTCAGGAGGCTGAGATCTGAGAAAGAGAAATTTTGGTGAGTCTGTACTAGGCATGCAACTCTGAAAATATATATATATATATATTATTCCTGTCAATTCAGTCTATACAAAATATATTTTTGTGTCTGAGGTACCATTCTTAGAAGACAAAAGAAGGATTATTTCCAACACTCAGTCACAATAACAGAACCACTGGATTTTTGAAAGGGAATTCTTTTTTTTAATTATTATTTTTATTTGAAACTTGTGAAAGAGAATTCTGAAAGTCACCTAGAACCAACTCTTTCACATGTCTCAGGAAGTTACCTTATTGGCAGGGCCTTTTCTGACCACCACACCTACCTCCCAGAGGTTCCCCCTCCAACCTCTCTTCCTGGATTTATTTTTCTTCATAATACTTATCACCATCTGACTTACTCTATATTTTATTTATTAATTTGTACCTTTCTAGAACTGTAAACCTAAGACCTGTGATCGAAAGGTGTTTCCCCTGGTGCATGTTGAATGCCTGAGATTGTGCTTTTCACACAGAAGAAAATAAAAAAGGACTGGCTAGTGGATTGATGGAGAAATGAGTAAAATAAACCATGTCCAATTTTGTTTCTGAATATGGGTATATTAGTGTGAGTTCTAGAGGTGCCATAAATTTTTTGAAGGTTTTTTAAGTTTGATTCACTTATTTAAATCAGCTTTAAATAAGTATCTTTAGAACAGACATTCTGTCAGCTTTCTAGATTATAATAGGATCTGTCCACAGTGATAAGAACTTTGGGCTCCATCAAGATATCTCAGGGGCTGGGAATGTGGCTTAGTGGTAGATTGCTTGCCTAGCATGCATGAAGCCTTGGGTTCGATTCCTCAGTACCACATAAACAGAAAAAGCCAGAAGTGGTGCTGTGGCTCAAGCAGTAGAGTGCTAGCCTTGAGCAAAAGAAGCTCAAGGACAGTGCCCAGACCCCAAGTTCAAATCCTGGGACTGGCAAAAAAAATAAATTAAAAAAAAAAAAAAATATATATATATATATATATATACATATATATTTCAGGCAGCAGCACTTCCCTGATTTCACTGTTGTAAACTCTATCCATGTACTTAAAGGTCAAGACTGAACAACGAACAAGTTTTGTTGCTTTTCTAAGTATACAAACCCTAAAACGTTGTCACCCATTGAACAATAAATGTTCATTGTAAAGCCTGGGTTAGTTTATTTGGCTTTTCAAGTCAAAACCAAACTGATTCCTCTGAGCTGTTTTGGGAAGAAGTTGACCTTCCAACAAGAGGTTAGAGATAAGCCAGTATTAAAGACCTGATCAGAGTTTGGGGTTCTGTTTGTGATGAGCCAGGTGGGGTGGGCTATTAGGTTGCCAACAGTAACCTGATGCTTCTGCCATCAGGAGCTCCCTTGACAGTCTGTTGCCTTGTAGTTACCTGAGATCATATTGCATAGGTGTGGACTTTATTGTGTCTACAGCTGCCTTTTCAAAAACAAAGCTTCTTCATTGTGAAAGCAGCCTGCATTTAATATTTAAAATGGACCAGGAAAGGAAAAAAGTTGCCTAGTAACTCATCATCTAGAAAAAATAACCCTTATTACTATCAGAGTATGGTTATTTTAAATTTTATATGAATATTTTAAAAATAATTTACAATGGTTAAAAATATTTACTGTTGTTTTCACACAAATAGATTTCCAGGTTTAAAAGGAAGTGAGGGGCAGTTACCATTACTGGGAAGTATGAGGAGAGGGAAGTCTACAGAAATGGATTGTTCAACTTCAACCATAAGTACTTTGGAAAACCTGAAAGAAAAACAAAAGAATAGAAATCAAGAACCCACATATGTTAAACAAAGAATCTGTACTGTGTTACAGTTCTCAAAGGCATTTCTTAAGGTGTTTGAGACTGGGTCCAAACTTTCCCATAAAATCAATAAACAATAGAAAATAGTCAAAGTAGAAATTTGGTGACATATTTTTAATCAGTTAGCTTTATTTTTTGAATAAAATTGTCTTTGAAAAACACATGTGTGCTAAAGCCAAATTTTAGGTACATAATGTAAAATACTACTTTAGTTCACTCCTGATGGCCTCAACATAAATGTCAATGCTATTTTAATTCAGGTTGTTTAGTCTCCCATAGTTTAGGACTTAACTGTATTGTTGACTGCTCATATTACTTCTAAGAGGGACACTCTCCATTTAAAGGAACCACAGGGTATGATTAAGCATGATGTGTTCATGTAACAAAGACTTTTATTAAGAAGGTGTGTGAAGACAGTCATTCAAAAAAAAATCAAAATCACAATCCTAATTCTAGAAGTGGTGACGGGTAACAATTCCATGCAAATATTCATTAACAGTTATAATTCAACACCAGGGCTTTTGGCTTGGAAACTTTCAATTAAAAAAATGGGTTTCACTTATTTGCAATAACTAGTATATATCTGAGTCAAGCACAAAAGGTCAGATAAGTTGATATTAGAGAAATGAACCCTAAGATATGTATTCAAATGTTTTTTTTCTTTCATGGGATTGTTTCTAACACATTTATAAGATTATTTCTTTGTTGCTTTGTATGTCCCTCCCCCACAGTATAACCCCTGCTTTCACTGTATTTGATGTTGTTATAATTTGTGGAGGGGAAGGGGAAAAACAAATCATTTAAATAGGGATACAGGTGGACCCATTGCAATAATGAGACATACAAGTCATTATGTCGAAAACGAACTTTACAACTTTGGTGTGGGGTGGGGGGAGGAGGAGGAGGATGGGACGGGAAGGGGAAACAAAGGAGGAGGCTACAATGCTTGATAAGAAATGTACTCATTATCTTGCCCATGTAATTGTACAGTATTTTCACAATAAAAAAATGAGTTTCAGAATTATAACCACATGGGCAAAGTTTAAATTGCATTGGAGTAAAATACCATCAATGCAGCATGTTTTAGTAGATTATTTAGAGGGTTAGTAAAGTAAAATAAAATGTACACACTCGAGCCTGTGGAATGTTACATTCAAGGAAGGGAATCTCCTTCACTTTTAGATAGTTAAGGCTTTATTTTTCCCTTTAGATATTTAATACTTTTTAAGTTGAATATTTAAGGTGAAGTAGAGAAGCCATTTATAGAAGTGTCAGAAAGAGAGATGGTAGGGAAGGGAAAAAGAACCTGAAGGAAAAATTACTGTTGCACTAGGCTTTATGGAGTGGGTAGGTGGCCTCCACAGCAATGAACTTTCAGGAATGGAAGCTGGGTAAAGACTGTCAAGTTGTAGATGAAGTTTCCAGATGGTGTCTAGAAATCATGCCAAATTGACAGTGAAGGTTTCTCCTGGCTCTGGGATTGTAGGATTTATAAGGCAGAATGCTGGCTCTAGGAACTATGTAAGAAGCCCTTTGTAAATGATACTGGCCATATTCGAACTTCCAAAGACTGTCTTGTGTGTAGCTTTATCTCCATTCCCAGAAAAAGAAAAACGAAGACCCTTGAAGATTCTCCTCTGTAAGCAGTAGAAACTAACTTCATACCTAAATGACCCAGTACATGTTTCTTTACAGTCAACTGGCCTTCATATGGCAAAGAGTCTCTAAGTGCCTAAATCCTTTGTGAAACAAGAGGTAATTAGTATAAACCTTTAAGTCTTGAATTCAATAAAAAAAAGCATTTATCATGAAAGTGAAAGATATTTGATAAATACATTGGGTGTGAGACACTAAGCAAGGTACTAGAGTGTCTGCTAGCGGGTGTTGGAGTGGTCAAGAGGAAGAGTAGTCTGTTGACAAGACACAATTCTTGCATTTATTCTACACCAAAGACCAAAGACGTGGAGAGATAATGATAATAAAATGTCCTCTGTACCACAGAGGAGGTAGTGGGGGAGGGGGCAGTTTAGTCTAGAAGTTAGAGGAGATTTAGCCAAGCAATGACCCAGTGAGAAGATGAAAAAGAAAAGAAATTGAAAGCCGTTG